CAGTTAAGATGGAAATGGAGATGAAGACCACGTCGCGACGCATTGGCTGGCAAATACACCAGAGAGAGGAGAGAGTCCCCTAGCGCTGCATTTGATAAAATACAGAATATTTCTAATAGAGAGAAAATGGGGAGGGAGACAGAGAGGGAGAAGAGTGTTGACTGCTGGAAACTGGATAATCTTGATGGGTGTGGTGGCGGTAGAACGTTGAAGCCACAAACTTGTAACCAAATTGATTAAATCGAGGAAATCCAATTGAGGCGGAATTATTAGTTCTGGGGCTTTGGGGACACAGACAGCGTGAGCCTTAAATGACCCCCAGGAAATTACCCACACTGTTCACCCACAAAGAAGACGATTATTATCCCTGAATTGTGCCTAGAAGTATGCCAAAGGGAAGACAGAAGGAATGATCCTTCAAAGAACTTAAATTTTGACATATAGAGAGAGATTCAAACATAGTTGTTGAGCATTCAATGTGTAAAAAATGCATTGAAGCATTCTGTTTGCACCATGGAAATGGAAACCCCCTTCATCTCCCGCTCTCTCTCTCCCTCGCTGTGCGTTTTTGTGATGCGAGAAACGGAAATAGTGTTTCCTGTTTGAAAACCACTCAATTCTCTCTATTTTTTTCCCCTTTTTTGGCTGCAAATGTTTGAAGAAGGAGGCCCTGCATTCATTCTATCAAAGGAAAGGGGTTTCGGCGTTTGAGCGTGCCTCTGGTCGGTTTGTTGTTGTTGTTATGGTTGCAGTAGCATTGCCTTTTGGCGGCCGTTGCATGGCACATGTGGCGCGTATTCGCAATATTTCCCCACGGTCTATTTTTAGAAAATCCAGTTTTTTGGCAACGCACAGACAGACAGCCAGACAGACAGGTCTCACTGCTTTGCATGAGAGAAGTCAAACGAGAGAAGGAGCTAAAGAGAAAAAGAGAGGCTAAAACGAGACACTGAAAGAGACTGCAGAAGACATTACCGAAGATCTTCCTGCCTCATAATTCCCGCTCATAAATGTTGCACATTCAAGGAAATTCCTTTGTGTTGTTTTTTTTTTTGGTTTGCTTTGGCCTCCCAAAAAGCCCTTCACTTTCACACGAACTGAAGCAGGGAGCCTTCAAAAGATGGCCAGATTTGTCTGCCTTCTCTTTCCACCTCTCTCTCCTTCTCACCACTTATTTTCTCTCCTTCTCTGTCTGTCTGTGTTTGGGCTGTGTCTGCTGTTAAATGCCAAAGCGGTCGGCTGTCATGTGTTGCCTCCTTTTAAGGCCAGCAAAACGGCGCCTCATCAGGCGGGGAACAGGCAATTGAAGCTTCAGCTAAGGCAATGGTATGCCATGGCTCCAAGGCCCTCCATGCCCCAGCTCCAGGTCCAACCTCCTGCCTGCACCATCATCATCATCAACGGCTTGGAGCTTGGGCTTCTTTGAAAGTGAAATTTCAGAGTGTAACACATGCGATGACCATACGGCAGCAGGCTGCATCCGTAGCTCCACAACTCCACAGCATCCACATCTCTTTTCTCTCTCTCTCTCTCTCTCAACAGATGCCTTGACATTGTTGACTGTGTGGCATGCCATGATGCGGTATGGCGCTAGAATGATCTTAAATGGAATCATTGTCCCCATTGAGGAATCATTTTGAGGCAGAAACGAGAACTGGGTTAAGTTCCGTACAGCAAAGAGAATTATGAATGAGCTTTGCAGGGTGGTGGGGGGAGTGAAAGATTTTCTCTTTAAGAGCTTTACTTTATAGATTACCATCGCAGACAAATGAGTGAATGAATGAATACATCTGTGGCAATCCATGAGTGCACTCTCTCCCCTACTTGCAGTTTCCCATCTTTTAGCCATTATTTGAAGAATTTTCGTACATTTTTCATCAGTTTTGGCTCATTTACTTTTTGTGTGTGTGTTTTTCTGTGGGTGGGTACATTGTGCCATTCAACAGATTGTGTGTGCACGGCTATGGATGGGCGATGCCGATGCCTGATTCCCAATTCGAGGCACGGTCTGTGTGGGGCGATAGAGAAACGAGGGAATCATTTGCAACACTTGAACAGTTCGTTTATATTGTAAGTTGATTTGAAGGGGGGTGGGGGTGTGCGACGTTATGGTAAATGTATTAGGATCCCTTGATTGTCCTTGATTCCATTTCATTCCATTCCTTTCCCGTTGACCACCTTTCTGGGGCTATAGGCAATGCAATCAACTCGCCTCACATGAGACAGCTGTCTGGGTCCTGTCATTGGGTGCCTCAGGCTTGCTGCCACGCCTTGCTCCATCTCCATGGCATGTCCTTGCGGCCAAGACGACCATTCATTTATCATATCCATTCGACAGGGCTGCTGTCAGAGCAGAACCGTCCACTTCTCTGCCAAAGTGTAAACTTTAAAGGCTTCTTTGTCCTTACTCATTTGCTGAAATCCCTTTTCCAATTTCTAATTACACTTTCACTCTGAAAAGAAGGAATGTGGAGAAGGCGCTTGCTCTCTGGGGACTCATCACTGTGGCGATGAAATCAAATTGCACATTCGGGCCCAATAATCCATTTAATGTTTGGGCCCTGCCACTGCCACTGCCACAACCCATTCTGGAATTCCTTTAATAGAGCAAGAGAGGGCTTTGAACCCTTTTCCTGCGTATGTGTGGGTCTGTTTGTGTATGTGTGGCTTCTGCCAGCTGTGGCTGTGGTGCGATAATGTTTCGTTTGTGTGGCTGTCGTGTGCGTGTCCTTTTGTGGGGTTTACTTGTTGATGATTGATGGCAGAGTGGGCAAGGATTCAGATGCCCTGTGTGTGGGCGTGTGTAATGTGTGTGTGTCCTTGAACTGATTGGCTTCAGCAAACAATAAACAAAAACAAATAACAACAAATAATGAAAAAAAAAACTTCATTAAGCGAATTTTCAATCAGCAAGAAGACAAGCAAAGGATTAAAGAGGTTTAATCCAAAGTTAATTTTGCAAATTAAAAATTCAAGTAGATTTATGGAGATCCACAATTGAATCTAGAATTTGCTTCAATCAAGTAATTATTTAAGAGAGTTTCATGAGATTTAAAGCTTGCTTTGCTCTAACTCTAAGAATCTACATAGTGCCAATTCACTTTTGCTTGTAAAAGTGATTTATTCTGAATATATTTAAGCTCTCAGCTGATGCAATTCTCTTCAGCTTCTGTTAACTACCTGCATATGTTCCCCTAATTGTGTTAGGGCCTTCATCAGGGGCAATTCATCTGCTCTATAAAGAACCAAAGCAAAGAAAAAAACACTCACAATACTGTAAATGCTGTAACTGTATCTGAGTCGCTGACTGAGACTGGGATTGAATGAAGTCCGACAGTGGAATGAGTCAAGCCGCCATTCCCGCCCCCTCTAAATCCGATGACAATTGTCGGACAACTCACGCACATTTTCCGTTTGTTTTTGCTGTTATTTGTACTTATTGTTTCCGATGCACACACTCACACACACACACACACACACAACACCCCAATGTGATTCCCTCCCTCCACCCATTGCAATGGGTGCTGTTTGCTGAATGTAGTGTGTTGGTTTATCCACGGGAATGCCTGGTGTTGTGGTCTGGACGGTGCTTGGTGGTTGGGGATTGTCGTGTTTGCGTCTGGTTTCTATTTTTAGTGCGCAAGTTTTATTTTTAGACAATCCAACACACACACACACACAGGCAGAGAGACACACACGTGTGCAGCGGGAAACAACTTTAACTGGAAAAAAGTACAACTGCAACTGCAACTTGTTGCACAGCGTCAACCAGAGGTGGAGAGAGAGAGAGAGAGAGAGAGAGAGGGAGAAGTTGAGTCGATTGCCACTGAAAGAGCGCCCCGAGGCGACCCACGTTGCGGCTACGCGATATTTTTTATGTTACACAACGCGACGCTGACTGACTTGACTGTGGCCATACCCTTGCAATGAGCATTATTGAATTTGGATGATGTTTGACTCACATATGAATAATTAGACACCACGCTCTGTACTTATTGGAACTTTCTTTGGCCAGTTTTTGTCGGAATCTTTTTTAAGCTTCCCATAAATAGCTGCCATGCCAACGATCGTTTTGCAAGGGCATCAAATGCTTCGGTAAACGTCTTGAGCTTTCCTCTCTTGTTTGTTTGTTGATTACAGCTAAGCTCTCACTGCATCTTATGCTCATTCTATCGTCGCTCTCTGTGCTGTCTGTCCTCAAGCTTTTTTCCATTTCGTTAAACGTTTTATCGCGTCCGTCGTCGTCTCCCTCTACTATTGCTCTTTTCTCATATTTTTCTTTGAAATGTGATTCTATTTTTAGAATCGCTCGCCGCTCTCTGCTGCTTCTCTCTCTCTCTCTCTCTCTCTCTCTCTCTCTCTATGTATGTCTGTCTGTTATTCTTTGCTGCTCTCTGTTTACTTTATAAATATTTAAATTGTTGTCACGTACTAAGTTCTTAATAGGTTACGTTATGTGTTTATTTAACTCATTTTGATTAGAAGTCGAGAAAATTCGAATATACGGAAGAAGAGCTCCACAAGCGTCGTATAACAAGGGGAACACATATGTACATATATATCTATTCTATTGGGTCCCCCTCCTAATCCCGCTCAAAGTTCAACTTTTAGTCTGTTTTTTTGAAAAGCATTTCTCCCTCCCCCAAACATATGTACAACTTCAAGTTCTTTGCACATTCATTGTTTACTCAAGTGTAATTAGGTAACAGAAATAATGAAAATATACTCGAAGCAAATACATATCAACACGGACACAGACAAAATTTTGAATTAAATAACTTTTGGATGCCACACAAAATATAAACTAGACATTTTTCATTTAGTTTTGCTTGACCCTCGCACAGTTGTGCAAAAAGTTGAGGAAAAAGTGTGTTCCATGTAGAAATATTTAGACAAGAAATGACTTGCAGTAATGGAAATGAATGAAATAATCAAAATGAATATTTATATTACCAGCGGAAGGGTTCCCCCACCTACAGGTCCTACAGTAAATACTCAAATGATGTTCGTTATTTGTTTATTGGAAGGTCACTGTGGAATTTGGAATTTGGTTATGGGCCTAAATCTTTGATTTTGCTATTTTGGTTCTTTTGACTGTATAAATTTTGGGTTGAGCCCGCTCCCAGATGCCAGATGTTAGACATGGGGCTTAACACTGGGGTTCTACACCTGCGATCCACTCTGCTACGTTGCCGTATGGTTTTTGGTGGGCTTTTTGAGGTCACCCGCAATCTTCTTGATGGCCGGCGGAATACGCTTCGCCACTCCCGGCTGAGAGCTGAGGAAAGAGATCTCAAAGAGGGCGGGACGACTCGAGTAGACGTTGTGCAGCATGCTGATGAACCAGAAGAGCAGATCATCCATATTCTGGAGGGTGCACTGGGCAAAGACGGCGCCCGCATCGCGACCATGCTGATGGGAGTCGAAGAGGGCGACGATTGAGGCACGAAAATCGAAGGTGACCATCACCGTACGACTGTCCGCAATTATGGCTGCGAACAGATGGGGGGGCGTGCTCTGGCCGATGGCCTGCTGGAAGACCTGCAGAGTGATCTGGAAGATGCGGGACAGCTGCACGGCCACGTTCCGGTTGTACATGGGACTGGAGGTGTCCGCCTCCATGTGCGTGTAGAACCACTCCTCCAGGCGGAAGTTCATCTTGTGCTGCGTCCGGATGGCCGCAATGGCGTCCGGGATGTTCAGATTGAGGTTGCGCGCATGCGGAGTGTTGGCCGAGATCACATTGTGGTAGACACTGTTGCCATCGTTCATGGCATTGCCGAACATCTCCCAGCCACGCTGCGGCAGATTCGATACCCGGTGGTAGAACCTCTCCGCCTTGGACACCTTGTCGGCCAGGAGCAGCGAGATGAGGGTGCACGAGTTGGTGCCGCTCTGCTGGTACTCCCCGAATCTCGACTGGCAGAAGTCGCGAGGGAACCACCAGATGTTCAGGTTGTCGATCTGCTCGTGTATGGCCATATCAAAGGAGGAGCTTCGTCTTCGTCTTCGTCTTCTTACGAGTCTTCTTCTTGCAAGGCTTCTGGCGGCGAAGCTGCGTCCACTCCTTCCTGGCCGTTGTCTCCTGCCACTCCTGCTGCTGCTGCTGCTGTTGCTGTTGCTCTCACATACTTGTCCACAAATGCCTTTGCCCTCCAACAACAGCAGTACCTCAGACGTCAACGTGCACGGGAATGTAAAAGGGGGCTGCTGTTCCAGCTCCTCCTGTTCCTCTCCAGTACACTCCAAGGGCGGGCTCCCGATCCTAACCGAACATTGAATTTTGCGTACCTTTTGCCGGAGGAGTGCTCAGCGCGAAAAGATACAAATCTTTCGTAATCGGAAAACAACAAAAATTTCTAGACCAACAATTGACAAAAAACGAACATGATGTAGGATTTGGATACCGACTGGACGGAAATCAAGTGTTAGGGCTTTGACAGTAAAGGTAAGGGAAGGGGATATGGGGTTTTCCATTTTCCGGCTGATATTTCTACTTTATAGCCTTTTTATGCGTATTTGAAAAGCATTTTCCATTATTAGTAACCCCATAAGAATGTTCTTTGTAAGCTCTAAATGGATTTTTGTTTTGCAATTCCATGGAACGGCCTCTCTCCAGTCGCATTCTCTGAGCCCCTCCCGATAATCTTTATTCTAGGAATGGGAACACTCTATTTTAAAACTGGCCCAAAAGGGGATTCTTGGAAACGCGTTCTTCACATCGCATCGCCAGTGTAGAAGAGTGTCAAAATGCTGCGCAAATATTTATCAGTGGCGCCCAAAATTAGCCAAGGCCCGGGGCCAAGTAGTTCTAATTTTAAACTGCAACATTGGCAAAAAAAAAAAAAATACTAAAGAATAAACAACGGACGGTCGGGTGGCAGGAGGGAAGAAAACAAAAATAAAAACGAGAAACAAATATGTGAAGTGTGTCGGAAATGCTAATTTATGGTGGCATGAGCGCTTTGGGGTGTTGATTGAGATTGAGATTGAGATTGAAGAAGTGCTTGAAAGATTGCTGGAATGCCTCAATGGAGGAACGTAAGAGTCTCGCCTTCCAAGAAATATTCTTGGAATCCCCACTTAGATTCCTTAAAAGAGTAAACGTCAACAAATTTAAAATTATTTATGGTGGGAGATATCTGAGGAATGGTAACAAACAAAATAGGTTGAATAAATATGTTAAAAGTTTAGCGTGATGCAATTACGAACAATAAATTAGTGAAAACTCCCTTTTAAAATATCATATCGAGATACCTCTGTAAGGGAAATGTGAAATGTATCCAATTACCTTTCATTTGCTTGTATACTTCGGGCTCATTAGTGTGTCGCTTGTAGTTTAAGTATATAAATTTAATCTCTTTTATATTAATTAAAGTTAAACGTGAGCATTTATGGATAAAACTCAAACAAAGGCTGAACAGCATTACTATCCACTCTTTCCCTCTGTTCTCTCTGCTCAGAGGGACTACCCAGTAATCCATTTTGAATGGAATGCGCTTTGCTTCCAGAACAAACAATTAGGACTATGCAGGTGGGAAAACAGCTGGAGGCCGTGTGTTGATGTGTGGGTGGGATAATAGCAAGCAAAAGCCAGGGACAAAATCAGGTATTCCATCCATCCATCCACTCGCTCTCTCATACGCCGCGATACGGTTAATGCCTCAAACGAAATTGCATAATGTTGAAATCAACGCGAATTAATAATAACGAGCCATGCAACCCTTTTGGGGAGTGGGTAATACATTCCTCTAATCCGCTCTGCACCGATAGGATGGTTTGCTTTGGGCGCACTACTGGGCTGAGAGGGAGCCTAAAAGGATTTAATTAGAAGTTCTCTTCACATCTCCCTGCATTTTCCTGTTTCCTGGGTGTGGGTGTCAAGGTTGTTTGAATTGACCGTCGGCAGTAGTTGACATTTGACTTTTTCTCGCATGCATGCTCCTCGTACGGCTGCAACACTTCTAACACCAATTCGTTGCATATCCTCTTGCTTTCCAGGAAAACAGTCTTTTATTGCTTGCCTGCCGAGTGTCGTAGTGCCAGACTCTCCGTCTGTTTGTTTGTGTGTGTGTCTGTGTGTGTGTGTGGGCACTTGGCATACCCTGACCCATTCAGTAATTACATTTTCCCAGAAGCAACACCAAGCGACCACACAGAGAGAGCTTTCTTCTTAGCCTTAAAGTAGTGGGAAGGAAATAAGTCTTTTGTTTATAGCCTAGATTTCTTGAAATTCCGCTTACCTTTGCCTTACCCATTTAAATGCTGTGATGTCCATATTGATGGAAATGATTGCCATTAGAAATGTCAAAGTTTAACTTTTTAAACTGTTTCAAGAAGGGAAAATACATAAATCTTGGGTCGACATCCCATCCCGAAGCATCCCATCTCTGTAGGTGTAAAATTGAGGGAATTACCATGTTCGTTCTCTGACAAAGCTCAGAACTTCCCCTCTGGTTTGTGTGTCTGTTTGTCAAACATGCATCAGGAAGTGCATGTGCCTCGGTTTGAATTGCATCCTCTTGATAACTCTTGATATCCTTCCGCTTATGTGTATGTACTTTTGTTTGTTTTTGTTGCAGTGTGAGAATCTGTTGGGACCCATAGGCGTCGCGCTGAACGGCCCCGGCCTAAGGGGCCATGACGCGTTGGCCCTTTAATCTACTACTCTTGCTGTCGGTGGCAGTGCGCGACTGTAGCAATCATCGCACCGTCCTCACCGTGGGCTATCTGACGGCTCTCACTGGCGAGCTCAAGACGCGTCAGGGCTTGGCCATATCCGGTGCGCTGACGATGGCCCTGGATGAGGTAAGTCTCTACTAATTGGAAGCTCAACGTTTGCGCTACAGTTTAAACAACTGCTTTCATAATTTCTACCCTTCCTCTTGTTAAAGGTCAACAAGGATCCGAATCTGCTGCCAAATGTGACGCTAGACCTGCGCTGGAATGACACCAAGGGTGATACGGTATTGGCCACCAAAGCTATTACCGAAATGATATGCGATGGCATTGCCACCATTTTTGGTCCTGAGGGTCCTTGCTATGTGGAGGCCATCGTCTCGCAGAGTCGCAACATTCCAATGATATCCTACGTAAGCTCCGAAATATTTCTCCCGATTTATACTTCACCCACAGATAATTTCATGCATCGCCTTTTTTTCCGCAGAAATGTGCAGAGTACCGTGCATCCGCCATACCGACATTCGCTCGCACCGAACCGCCAGACACGCAGGTGGGTGTAGCGAGGGGCAGAGAGAGGCTCGGGTTGTGGGTGTAGTTGCAACAGGTGGAAGGGAAGGTCTTGTGCGTCCATCCTTGTCCTAAATCGTTCGCTAACCAGGACAGGGGATGATGCTTGAACGAAGGAGAAAAAACAACAGCAACAGATTACAGCCATAAGGATGTGGGCCCAAGACAAAGGTCATGCCATACGTATGAACCCCCGCCCACCGTTGAACCCCCCATAAATACTCTTCTCTTTTTGGAGTTGACACACAGTTGACAGTTCCCATACGTATTTTTGCAGGTCGTTAAATCGCTGCTCGCTTTGTTGCGCTATTATGCCTGGAATAAGTTCTCCATCCTCTATGAGGATGTGTGGGGCCCGGTGGCGGATCTGCTCAAGGATCAGGCCACCAAGCGGAACATGACCATCAATCACAAGCAGTCGTTCATCGACAATCGTGCCAAATGCTGTGAACTGGGTCTCGACTGCTGTCGCTCCGGCTATTGGTATCAGGTGGGTTCGAAACCACACCAGAAACATAATTCGAAGTGCAAACACTCACAGCACACTGTCTCCTTCGGTCATTTATAGCTGGTGCAGAATACCATGAACCGCACTAGGATCTATGTGTTTTTGGGTGCAGCCAATAGCCTGGTGGACTTTATGAGCTCCATGGAGACGGCCGGACTGTTTGCGCGTGGCGAGTACATGGTGATCTTTGTGGACATGATGGTCTACTCCGAACGGTAAGCGATCAGTGATTAATTATTCAGATTTAACCTAAGTCTTTGGCTTGCAGTGAGGCAGAGAAATATTTGCGGAAAGTGGATCAAATCGATCTCATGTCCAACTGTCACAGCACCGAGAAGTTCAACCAATTGGCACGCAGTCTGCTCGTCGTGGCCTCCACGCCGCCGACCAAGGGATATGAGAAATTCACAGAACGCGTGCGAACCTACAGCTCCATGCCGCCGTTCAACTTTGAGATACCCAAACTGTTTTCCCAAAGTAAATTTAGCAAGGTAAGCGAGGCATCCTCATTACCATGGCACCCGTTTTAACACCAGTTTATTGTACGTCCTTTAGTTCATATCGATCTATGCCGCCTATCTGTACGATTCGGTGAAACTGTATGCCTGGGCAGTGGACAAAATGCTGCGCCAGGAGACGCGAGTGCTCACCGATGAGGTGATCTTCGATGTGGCCAGCAATGGTACGCGTGTCATCGATACCATCATCAAGAATCGCACTTATATGAGTGAGTCCTTACGGCCATACCACTCCCCTTTCTGTTTGCTAATTGAGTAAAGTTTCTAGGCGTCACTGGATCCACGATCAAGATCGATCGTTATGGCGATTCGGAAGGCAATTTCTCAGTGCTGGCGTACAAGCCACACAAATGGAATAACTCAAACGGTGTGATATGCCACTATCACATGGTACCCGTGGCGTATTTCCACCAAGGCGAAGAACTTCCAGTGAGTGAGTCGTCTTCTCTTTTTTAGTTTGCCTTTTGCCTTAGACTTTGTGACTTTAAGTTGGTTCCGGACAACTCTACCCTAAATGGGAAATCCATGTGTACTCACGTGTATCTATGGTTTATCTATCTTTTCTATAGGAATACAAACTGATCAATGGCTCTATAGACTGGCCCTCGGGCGGCGAGAAGCCTACGGATGAGCCCATGTGCGGATTTGCCAATGAACTGTGCAAAAAGGACGACACACACTACACATCCACAGTGGCTGCCGTGGTGCTGGGAGTGCTGCTCTTCTGCTCCGGCGTAATCACCATGAGCATCTATCGCAAATGGAAGATTGAGCTGGAGATTGAGGGTTTGCTCTGGAAGATCGATCCCAATGAAATCAAGGGTTATTCGGGCAACGAGATTGTCTCCTCACCCAGCAAGGTAAGTCGACTATCGATGCTTTCTTTGACCCTTACTGAACTCTCTCTTTACTGATTCTTCACCCTCCCGTTTAGGTCAGTTTGATGAGCGCCCAGAGCTATGGCTCACGCTGGACGAATCAGTTTGTGACCTCCACGGGTCGTCTACGCGGCGCTGTGGTGCGCATCAAAGAGTTAAAGTTCCCCCGGAAACGTGACATCTCCAGGGAGATCATGAAGGAGATGCGTTTGCTGCGCGAGTTGCGGCACGACAACATCAACAGCTTCATTGGCGCCAGCGTGGAGCCGACCCGCATACTGCTAGTCACCGATTACTGCGCCAAGGGCAGTCTGTACGATATCATCGAGAACGAAGACATCAAATTGGATGATCTGTTTATTGCCTCACTCATCCATGACCTCATCAAGGTAACTAAATGAGAGATTAAACAACAAAATGTAACCCTTGCTAATGATCCTTTTGTGTGGTTTTTGCGATCTGCAGGGTATGATCTACATCCACAATTCCCAATTGATCTATCATGGCAATCTCAAATCCTCGAATTGTGTTGTCACCTCGCGATGGATGCTGCAAGTCACCGACTTTGGGCTGCACGAGTTGCGCCAGTGCGCCGAAAATGAGTCGATTGGGGAACATCAGCATTATCGAAGTGAGTATCAAGTCTTTGCACTGTTCTTGAGCTTCTCTATTCTGGAATCTGCACTCTTTTTCATAGATCAACTGTGGCGTGCGCCGGAGCTGCTGCGGAACCATATCCATGGCAGCCAGAAGGGCGATGTCTATGCGTTTGCCATCATCATGTACGAGATATTTAGTCGTAAGGGTCCGTTCGGACAAACCATTTTAGAACCAAAGGATATTGTGGACTTTGTGAAGAAGCTGCCGCTCAATGGCCACGTGCCGTTTCGGCCGGAGGTCGAGTCCATAATAGAGGCCGAATCCTGTCCGGATTATGTGCTGGCCTGCATCAAGGACTGCTGGGCCGAGGATCCCGAAGAGCGGCCCGAATTCAGTGCCATACGGTACGGCCTGACTCTTTTTCTATCATTTCTAGTAGTTCCAATAACGATTAATTGAAATCATAATTTAGCAATCGCTTGAAGAAGATGCGCGGCGGTAAAACCAAAAACATCATGGACCAAATGATGGAAATGATGGAGAAGTATGCCAACAACCTGGAGGACATTGTTACCGAGCGTACACGTCTGCTTTGCGAGGAGAAGCTCAAGACTGAGGATCTCCTGCACCGCATGTTGCCACAGTCGGTGGCCGAGAAGCTGACCATGGGTCAGGGCGTTGAGCCGGTGTCCTATGATTTGGTAGGAAGAAGCATCTAGCTTTAGGGATTTCCTTCCTTATACTTATATGTTTTGTTTCCCCAACAGGTGACCATCTATTTTAGCGACATTGTCGGCTTCACGGCCATGTCGGCAGAGAGCACACCGCTGCAGGTGGTTAACTTTCTGAATGATCTCTACACGGTGTTCGATCGCATCATCCGCGGCTATGATGTGTACAAGGTGGAGACCATAGGCGATGCCTACATGGTGGTAAGTGCCAGCACAGGACACTAGCAAACACACTCTTTGTATGGATCTCTAATGGATTTTCTCGATAGGTCTCTGGGCTGCCCATCAAGAATGGGGATCGTCATGCTGGCGAAATTGCTTCAATGGCTCTGGAGCTACTGCAGGCCGTGAAGCAGCATCGCATTGCCCATCGTCCGAATGAGACGCTAAAGCTGAGAATTGGAATGCATACGGGCCCTGTGGTTGCTGGCGTCGTGGGCCTAACGATGCCTAGGTATTGCCTCTTTGGCGACACAGTCAACACGGCCTCGCGCATGGAGAGCAACGGGGAGGCGCTGAAAATACACATTTCCAACAAGTGTAAACTGGCGCTGGATAAACTGGGCGGTGGCTACATCACCGAGAAGCGAGGCCTGGTCAATATGAAGGGAAAGGGCGATGTGATCACCTGGTGGCTGACGGGGGCCAACGACAATGCGATACAGAAGAAGCCAGTGGACATGATGGACATGCCGCCGCTGTTCTCGCGTCCCAGAAAGAGTCCGAAGCTTAATTCCGACTCCAGGCAGCCAAGTATTCAGGCCATGCACTTCTGCGGGACAGGATCGAGGCGTCAGAGCAGTGTGCCACGTCCAGCGGATGTCGAGTCCACGTACAGTCTGCAGGGTTCTGTGAGGGAGTCGCCGCGAGTCAGCAAGAGGGACAGGGACAGGGAGCGACCAGTCAATGGACTGGGCGGTGCACACTTTGTGGGCGGAGCACTCCTGGAGTCGGCTCTGGCCTCGCTCAGCACGCTGAATCATTCCGAAACAAATGAAACGAACTGTGATATGGATGGAGGAGTAGGAGGAGCGAGTCTAGTACGCCAGCCGAACGCTCTGCACAAGCCCCTGGCCATGGTGCGGCCCCACAGGATCATCAGTGCCACCCAGCTGCCCCTTGGCGAAGAAGACGACGCAGACGGCACCACCGTCTCCCAGGTGGACGTGGAGATGCTCCTCAGGGAATCTCGCTCCCTGGACCCCATGCCATGGCAGCATCTGCGCAAGCGGCACGAAAGGGTCAAGCTCCCACCCTCCAAGCTGTCTAAAAACAATTCGAGATCCCTGGACACGGGAGTGTCGCTAATAAGCGGCAACCAGAACGGTGATGCGGAGGGAAGCCAACTGGAGATCGACGACGACATGTCCGCCAATCCAGTGGATGCCAACGATGGCTACGACGATGAGCTGGGCCTGCTTATGCGGCACGACAACGGCCAGCTGCCCACGCTCCGCTACTCCGGCAGCTTCCCCAATGCCAATGCCCATGCCCATGCCCATGGCCAGATCAGCATCGTTCCCACCGGCGGCAGCTCCAGCCGCAGGCGCACCAGCAATGTATCCTCCGGAAGCTGTGCTAAGCATCTGAACAACAACTGCAATGGCGGTGTGAATATTGAGGACGATTTGGAGTCTCCCCTGCTGCAGCGTCAGGCCTCGCTCTCTGTGCCGCCCGAGGAGATGTTGGCGCACAACAAGCGCTGGCACTCGCTGGAGCACATGGAGCCGGGCGGTGGCGGACACGGGAACAGTGTCAGCTATGCGGCCGACATAGATGGTCCTGTCAGTGGATTGGACATCTTGGGCGGTTCCTCCTCCAATCAGCGTCCAAGAGGAATTGGTGGCGGAGGTGCCGGCGGCGGAGCCACCAAGCTGGGCAACTGGATGGCCAATTTCTTCAAGGGTAACGGAGTGCGCAGTGGGGAGGCTAGGCGAGTGGGAATCCTGCCCACCGGTGTGCAAGGAGTACGAGCTGGATTCACGGACATGACGGCAGCGGCAGCAGCCGGTGCCCGAGATCGTGAGAGTATAGTGTAGAGAGTAGGATCTAAGAGGATAGATAGCAGGATAGAAGGATGGCAGAGGATGGGAGGATAATAAGTTGGAGGTGAAAAAGTTACTCAGGAACCGTGTCGAGCAGGAAACGATTGTCTTTTGGCTTATTTCTTCGTTTTATGTATTGTAGTTTGTATCATCGATCGATCGAACCTATTTGTGTGCCTCTGTGTCGGGGATATGCATCCATTTATGTAAAAACCTCTTCACCTCGAAATCAATGGATTATCTATAGATAGTCGATGTGAAATGGGATTGAAAGTACATATAGGTATATTTTTTGTGGAATTGTTGCAATTTCGAGGAATCAAATCAAAAGAATGATTTAAGCATTGCATATACATATTTGATAACTCTACCCTACATATAAATATTGGAGAAGCCGAAAAAACCGTCTAGTCACAAGGTCTTCAGACTAGTTATTGTTTTATATATAATATATAAATATATGTATCTATTCCATATACACACCCACGCATCTAAATGTACGTTTGTAAATGTAACACAACCACACACACACACACACACACACACACATATTTATATGAGGAATCAAAAACAACAACATATATTTGATGTAAATGTAATTGAAAATGTTTGCTTTTCAATACAAAATGCGATGCAGCTTAAAGGAAAACTAGGTAATTTATATATTTCGAAAATCAAAAAATGGAAAATTGCTGTATCAATGTGTTTTGCTAGTATGTAATTAAGTGCGTGTGATTGTATGTAATGTTTAAGTCCTTAACACTAAATGCATAATTTTAATTAATTAATTATGAACGAGAATTGTGAGCAGAGTTGCGAAAAAAGGCCCGATATGAGGGTTTTTTAGCTATGTGTATGTATGTATATTTTTAAAAGAAATTTGTTAAATTTGCCATATATAAATACAAAGAAAACAAAAACGGATTTGAGTTTTGGATGGCAAGGCATTTAATAACTTTTATAACCAGAAATGCAAGGCCTAGTAAATATATGTGTAGCTGTATGGCTAGTGGTTCCACTCGAGTTGTTTACCTGTTTATAAAGAGGGGTCTTAAGTGTGTTAAGTGCGCTCATAATTTATGGTAAATTGGCATATAATATAGTATATTTCGTTTTCTGTTTAGTATATTTCCGAGGGTCAGACGGTAGAGCGGTCACACTACCCACCACATACAAAACAAAGGCGATTTTTGGGTATTTTATTAAATCTCACTGGAAAAACTCGCGCATTTAGTTATTGTACTTTCTCCTGATCCCTCGTCCCCGCCTGCTTGTTGCGCTTGTGTAGATTCTTCTTTTGCATGTGGACGACAAGCAAAGGAACGTTTTTACACGCAGAACAACAACGCACGCCCCGCGACCCTTGCGACGCAGCCAGTGCAATACATTGAGATGCAGAACTACGGCGTTGGAGCCGCAGCCGCGACAGCAGCAGCAGCTCCAGCCGTCAAACGCCGTACGGACAGCTATGAGGCTGCACAGCATCACCCCCAATCGCCTGAGAGCGATGAGGACTACGTGAACACCAGGACACTGCATCGACAGGCCCACCTCCAGTCCACACCAGTGGCCCCCGTTGTACCAATGCCTGCTGTGCCTATCTCTGCTGACGGTGGTCCCATTTCTGTGGAGGGTCATGTGGAGCAGCCAGAGTTCTCGGGACCCACCTCTTCCGCCTCCTCCTACCACGAGGAACGTATGCGACGTAAGCTGCAGTTTTACTTCATGAATCCCATTGAAAAGTGGCAGGCGAGGCGCAAGTTCCCCTACAAGTTTGTCGTGCAGGTGAGTGACTCTACGTTGAAGATCCGCCTCATATTGTCGCTTAATTGTCAATTGTCCCGTGATGCTTCTTCCGCAATGTGCAAACTCGGACTGGGGGCGAGCGCTGCTGTGTGTGACACATGTTTTTGCTAAATTTACAGTCGCTTTTTAATCAGGGGGCCTCAAGCTTTTTGTTTGCTTAGCGCTTTGAGCCTGTAACACAAAGGTCCAACTTTCGAGCATAGTCAACATTTAGACGCTTAAGTATTCTGCTTAAGCTCTCTTCGCTTATCGATGCCTTATCTGAAAGGTCTACTAACTAAATATAGGACAAACATACACACACACATACAAAGTGTGCGCAATAAACTTGAAAAAATATCTTATATTTAACGGCTAGACGTACCTGGCCGGGCTCCACGTACAATTGGGCAACATTATTTCAGAGTATGATAAATGCTAGCTTTTTGGGGTTTTTTTTCGGATGATTAATTTTTAAGTGTTTTGGAAACTGAACTTGCCGGGAACTCCATGGCCCCAACAATGCTTAGTAGTCGTGATAGAACCAGAATTTTGGATGGATACAAAGGAAATATGATAAGGTTCTTAGATCATTGAACGGCCTTATCTGTGTTCTCAAATAAAATGCATACGTAGATGTACATATGTTTACATACTCGTAGAGGAAAGACCACACACCTTAATTAGATTAAGCAAACACAACCCCACCCCACTTATTTATATCGTATGTATCTATCTACCCTCCCTCTACAGATTGTAAAGATCTTTCTGGTGACGATGCAGCTGTGCCTTTTTGCCCACTCGCGGTATAACCACATTAACTATACGGGTGATAACCGATTTGCCTTCTCGCATCTGTTTCTGAGAGGCTGGGACTCGTCGCGTGAGGTGGAGAGCTATCCGCCCGCGGTCGGTCCCTTTGCCCTGTATTTGAAATCGGAATTCTATGCCACAGTGCAGTACGCAGTCGACGGCTATGCCAATGTGAGCCGATCGATTGGACCGTACGACTATCCTACGCATAACAATACGATGCCGGCGCTCAAGCTGTGCCTGCAGAACTATCGAGAAGGTACCATATTTGGGTTCAACGAGTCCTACATCTTCGATCCTCACATTGACGAGGTATGCGAATCGCTGCCACCGAACGTAACCGGCATCGGAGTGGAGACCTATCTTAAGCAGCGCGGAGTGGAGGTCAACTTCGCATCTCTGGTTTCGGCACAGCTGACGTTTAAGATCAAGACTGTGAACTTCAAGGCCAATGGTGGACCCTTGTCGGCTCCAGACTGCTTTAAATTCGACATAGCCATCCTGTTCAACAATCGGGACCATGATGGCCAGATGTTGTTGTCACTGGATGCCGAGGCCACGCGATTGAAGTGCCATGGAGCAACGGATTTCATTTCGGAGGCGAACTTCGACTCCATGCTGAGGAGTGTGCTCAATATATTTGTCCTTTTAACCTGCGCCTTATCCTTTGCCCTGTGCACGCGAGCCCTGTGGAGGGCATACCTGCTGAGATGCACGACAGTTAACTTTTTCCGGTCACATTTTGGCAAGGAATTGAGCTTCGACGGGCGCCTGGAGTTTGTCAACTTTTGGTGAGTTCCAAAGAGCAATAGTTGAAAAGAACGTCCCACTAATTGCATGCATATTTTCAGGTACATCATGATAATCTTCAATGATATCCTGCTGATCATTGGCTCTGCGCTTAAAGAGCAGATAGAAGGGCGCTACTTGGTTGTGGATCAATGGGATACCTGCTCCCTGTTCCTGGGCATCGGAAACCTGCTTGTGTGGTTTGGAGTGCTGCGGTATCTGGGATTCTTCAAGACCTACAATGTGGTGATACTCACGCTGAAGAAAGCTGCCCCAAAGATTCTGCGATTCCTCATCGCCGCCCTCTTGATCTATGCTGGATTTGTGTTTTGCGGCTGGCTGATTTTGGGCCCCTACCACATGAAGTTCCGCTCGCTGGCCACCACCTCGGAGTGTCTCTTTGCGTTGATCAATGGCGACGATATGTTTGCCACCTTCGCCACCCTGTCGAGCAAGGCCACCTGGTTGTGGTGGTTCTGTCAGATCTATCTGTATTCCTTTATATCGCTCTACATTTATGTGGTGCTGTCGCTGTTCATTGCCGTCATTATGGATGCCTACGATACGATTAAGGCGTATTACAAGGATGGCTTCCCAACCACCGATCTCAAGGCATTTGTTGGTACCCGCACAGCCGAGGACATCAGCTCAGGCGTCTTCATGACCGATCTGGATGACTTTGACCAGACGAGCTTTGTGGATATTGTGAGGAGCATTTGTTGCTGCGGCTGCTGCAGGCGCGAGCAAGAGCCCGTCCAGCCCAACAGTGGCTACACCAGCCTCTCGAGTATTATGAAATAACTGGGTGCGGCATAGATAGTTTCGAGTCTTCGTAATGTTTTGTTGTTGTTGTTTTTGTAGTTAGTGTGTCATCAGCTTTATGTGTGTAGTCGCGTGTTGAAATTGTTATTAGCTTTTTGTATTAATTTGTTAATTACCAAAGCACTTTAACCGAGAGAAGCCCTAACGTACGTACCTATGAGAGAATTTTCATCAAACAGCGGCTCGGAATCACAATTTTGACCATGGAATCGCCGCAGTTGGCAAGGCAACTGTTTGCATTTGTAATGAACGATATTATGTGTGTGATATAAGTCAGTACCAGAACCAGAACCAGAACCAGAGAACAATAGAAATTAAAGTATGGGAGCTATTTTTGCCGGGAATATGGATATGGATCAAGTGGAGGTCTGCCATGGGAACAATTGCATCCGAAACGAGTTTACGTACAAATATGAAATATGAGTCACTGCATATAAATGCTTAACATTAACAATACAGATGCCCTAGGTATGTAAATACAAACATACATATGTAAGTATCCAATAGGTAAATTTATTTTTAAAATAACCAAAATCCCACAATAAACTGTAAACTGTATACAGAAATTACAATAAAGTTAGAAAAGTCCTGTATATTAGTGATCCGAGATCGGCCCATAACTAGCTAAGAGAGAGATCACACATGCCTGGCGCCTTCCTGTTCGAATTTTATCCATACCACCATTTCGACTAGATATGTCTGTCTCTTATCGATAGTTCCCATTTGTGTGTTTCCAGCCCTGGATACCAAAAAAAAAAAACAAAAGAGCAGAAAATTCACAATATTATTCAAAAAATAACAAAAAGGTTAATTCAAGCATTAAAAAAGTAATTAAAACGATGAACAGTCTTGTCGGATACCCCAGAATGTCATTTGCAGTACAAGTACAAGGAGGTAGGTACCAAACAGACAGCCGGTGTCGTCTGCTATGATTCTCAAAAGTGTGGCATACTTCCAAGCTGAAAAGAACGCTTTTACAAAAATGCGTAAAACAGCGATATCCTGCAGTCCTTGAGGGCCTTGATAGATTGAAACGATGCAGGAGACATTTCCACACACGAGGAGGAGGGGCATGTACTGATCCGACAGGTTTAGGTTTAGGTTTAGGTTTTAGTTAAAAACATCCTTAAAACATCCATTATCCTTAATATCCTTGCATCCGAAGTGATTGTAATCGGACCGGGACATTGTCCCGATCACGAGGAGGTGTGGCAGGTCCTGATCCGACAGGACACAGCCAAGCTATGCCGTTATAGGGATAACATTAAAAAATATCCTTAAAATGCCATTATCCTTTAGATCCTTACATCCGAAGGGATTGGAAAACGATAAAGGACATTCTCCTGATCACGAGGAGGTGTGGCATGCCCTGATCGGACCCAAATTAATGAGCAAACAAAAGTGTCCTATTTGGTGCAAAGCTTTAGTGACTTAAGATTTAAAAAAAACCGCCGAGTTACATAGCAGCTAGCTCTTGACACGATTAAAAAAATAAAAACCAGCTACCTTCTGCTGATTTATGTTCGCCTGGTACTTGGTCTGGAAATTTTCCAGTTTTCGGCCATTTGAGCGAGGCAATTTCAAAACTTCACATAGCTTACTGAGCAGCTTGAAAGTCTGGTATATTTATTTTTATTGGTATACCAAACTTATTTCAATCTATTTGTTTACAATATTGGCAGTTATGTGTTATGGTAATCTTAACCTAGACCGACATGAAAATCGGCCACTTCCATGGAGATCTTGAACTCCTGATCGCAGCACAAAAAAGAGTCGATTGCCTAGTTCGATCTTCTGCGGAAAGAACGTTGCATTGACGGGGCATTCACTCTCCAGCTAGACCACATGGTTGGCCAATTGCTCCCCATCGGCCATCTGTTTATCGGCTACGATCCTCATTCTCCTTCTAAAAAAACACAAAACGGGAATATGTAAAAAGATAGCTGATGGCAGAATCAACGACTTACCTTCTCAGTGCCTGCCTGGACACTATAAAGCTCGCTGTATAGCTCAACATGCGATCAGCCCTCGATGGCATGCAGCACCTCGTTGACGTCAAGGACCTGTAGGGCTGGGACATGCACCTTCCCAAATACCTTGCGTAGGTACGTAACTAGGTAGTTATAGGAACTCCCGGGTAGTTGGCAGAGTTAATTCGCCATGAAATAAATGAGTGCCATAGTTCAAGACCAGATCATCCAGCTCCAGCAGTTGACGCATCCATATCCGCTACCTCAGGATCTTTGCTAGTTCCGAGTCGCCCTGGCATAAAGGTTCAGCTTCAGCAGTACCAACGAATTCTCGAAGAGGCCGTTCGGCGGCGGCATCTTTGCGGATTTAGAGCCCATCGGCTGACGTGCTCTGTTGTAAAAGAAGCAACCAATAAGCATTTTAATGCGTACCGCTGATTTACTCACATTCTCTGTAATCAATGTGCGTCTGTTCATCCTCTCACATAATGGTCGGCATTGTTGGCCTTTGTCGTTTCTCTGGGTAACTCAATTGCGTGTCATTCAACTCTCGCTTCAGGGTGATGCAGACTGAAAACATCAAAAATGAATTACATTGCAAAATTATCATCCAAATTCCCATTATCATGGGACAGACGACACCGGCTGTCTGTTTGGTACCTACCTCCATGTACTTGTACTGCAAATGACATTCTGGGGTATCCGGCAAGACTGTTCATCGTTTTAATTACTTTTTTAATGCTTGAATTACCCTTTTTGTTATTTGTTCAATAATATTGTGAGTTTTCTGCTCTTTTGTTTTGTTTTTTTTGGTATCCAGGGCTGGAAACACACAAAAGGGAACTATCGATAAGAGACAGACATATCGAGTATATAATATTGATGTCTGGCAAAATTTAGTCGCCATGAAATGGTGGTGTGTATTAAATTCAAACAAGGCGCCAGGTAGTCGAGATCTTTTGACGAACGACAGTCCAGAATCTAGATCCTCACAATTCTAAGGCTCAGTGCATCCGATTATATACATAGCAAACACACAACTTAGGTACAATTTATAAGATTCAAAAAAATGTATAATAAATGCAATTAATAGTCTTGTCAGGTCGTAATTCACATAAAATTGCACCGATTCCGTAATCGTAAATGCGTATCTGGCTTCAAATAAATGTTTGTTTTGCGTGTTTTACTTGTATTCCTGATTCAGCTGGCGCCCAATCAGCCAGCGTCTGATTTCAGAGGTGCCGGCCCCAATCTCGTACAGCTTGGCATCGCGCAAAATGCGTCCCGTTGGATTATCGTTGATGTAGCCATTGCCGCCGAGGATCTGAATGGCATCCAGGGCAACTTGGGTTGCCTTCTCGGCGCAGTACAAGATGACGCCGGCGCAGTCCTTGGGGCTGCGGTTCCCTGCATCGCTGGATCTGGCCACAGTGTAGAGATAGCTGCGACAGGCGCTCAGAGTGGAGTACATGTCAGCCATCTTGCCCTGAAGGAGTTGAAACTCGCCGATTAGCTGGTTCATCTGCTTGCGCTGATGCGCATAGTCGAAGGATATGTCGCATGCGGCCTGCATTAGGCCCACTGGTCCGGCGGCCAGCACTAGGCGCTCAAAGTCCAGTCCAGACATCAGCACATAGACACCCTTGTTCTCCTTGCCCAGGACATTCTTGGCAGGCACTTTTAGATCCTGAAAGACCAGCTCACAGGTGCTGCTGCCACGCATGCCAAGCTTGTCCAGTTTTTGTGCCACACTGAAGCCCTCCCAGGCGGTCTCTACAATGAAGGCGGTAATGCCGTGCTTGTTTGGTACATCGCTGCTTCCCGTCTTCGCGTACACGATCAGGGTATCCGCATCAGATCCGTTAGTAATCCAGAATTTACTTCCATTCAGAACGTAGTAGTCGCCCTTGCGTTCGGCGCGCAACTTCATGGACACCACATCGGAACCGGATCCGGGCTCGGACATGGCCAAGCCTCCAATGTGCTCACCATTGCAAAGTTTCGGCAAGTATTGTTCCTTCTGTTCGGTGGTACCATTTTTGGTCAGCTGATTGATGCAGAGATTGGAGTGTGCTCCATAGGACAAGGCCACGCCACCTGCCGCACTGTAAGAAAAGACTTGGAAGTTATTTATCGACACTCTGACATATTCTAGTTTACCGCGAAAACTCCTCCATGATGATGCAGTGGTCAAGATAGCTTCCCCCAGTGCCGCCAAAGTCCGGCTCCGCTGTGATGCCCAGAAATCCAAGATCGCCAAGCTTTCTCCAGAATGGACGCATATCCCTGAGGATGCAAATTTTCATTAGCTATGTTCCCTTTTCTATCGTCATGACCCACTTGAAGTTGTCCAGCTTGTCAATCTCCTTGGCGTAGGGCGCCAGCTCCTTCTGGAAGAAACTAAAGGCAACCTCGCGCAACTTTTGCTGATCCTCGTCCAGCCCGAACATGGCATCGTTGACAGGATAGTGGGCAAGAGTTCGGGTGCAGGGCAGATGGCGATTGCCGTGCTGCAGCAAAGATCTGCAGGATTTCGCCACAAATCTCAGGACCATCTTCGCGTTGTTTTTTTTTTGCAGTCAATATGGAACCATAAACTATTATCTAACCTCCTCCTCCGATCAGCTGTGCACACTCGCCACTTGAAACCATCGAGTGGGAATCAAACAGGTGGCACGTTTGACATGAGGGAGATCTAAGCCAATCATTACATATTCTGGAAGAAATAAAATTTAATTCATGTGCATTTAATTGAATTTTCATTATTACATTTATAATATTAAAAGAGCAGATACAACGGGGTGGCAGCACCAGAGCGATCTGGCCACTTAGCACAGACAGCAAGAAAGATACCAAGCGGAGTAGTTTGGGGCACATCTGGTGGTTTCAAAAACATATTGTAGGCATTAATCTATCCAACTAAAACAGTGTTTAAATAGGAAAATACACAAATGATCTCTGTGCCCACAGGCGCTGCCAATAGGTTCAATATAGTATGACCATTTTTGAGCAGTGTGGCAGCACTATTGATACAATTTCAAATTTGAATTTGTGTAGCGGGAAACTAAGTTCTCGATCTGCGCATGACTCTCCATTGTACTCAAACAGTGATTACCATTTGTTGGTGCACAAGTAGGACTCTCAGGGAGATGGTGTTGTGCCCAATAAGTAAAATAAATTCGAATTTATTGGCTGTGCGCAGGACTCTACAATGGCAGATGTCTGAATGCAAGGACTGGCTACCCCTTACCCGCTGACGCCGCCGAATGCCGGCCAACGCAGCGGCAACGAAATATGCCGACATCAACAATAGCAACAACCACGACTATGGCAGAGAACGAGCAGAGCGAGCACAGTGCAGGCGCAGGGATAAACATAAACAGGAGCCGCAGTTAGGCTAGAGCCTTGGTCTAAATGGAATTAAAAACGCTGAAACCCATCCAATCAGTCCCTCAGTCGGTGCCCATTGCTGTGCGTTGCCCCGCGGAGCGTCTCCTTAGTCCGAGTCGCGCGTTCCCTTGGTTTCCAATCCCTTTAGCCTCGTGTTCATGGAATTTTGTTCCTTGTGTCGTGTGTCCTGCAAGCATAATGCTACACTTGTAATGATAATTAATTAATTGGACGTGCGGGTCATCAGGGAGAGCAGAGGAGAGGCCGAGACCGATGTGCAGCAGCCGCTGAAATTCCAAATGAATGAAAATAGAAAAAGTGAGAAGAGAAGGAACAATTTAACCCAAATAATTGAACAATTCGGCTAAGGCAAATCGATAAATATCCTAGCCATAGCCCATAAATAAGTTGCCACCAGTATACCCATTGGCAGCTGAAGGAGCTGGCTCACGTGTGTGCGTTTGATTAATGGTGCTACCCAGAGACACGACTCTGCCTACGCCCCCGCCTCCACAATAGGCGTAACCTATTGTCGTTCTCCTCGTCGTCGTCGTCGTTGTCGTCTATATCCTGTCAATCAACTCTAGAAACGCAACTCAATGAGGACACTATTTTTATTGTAGGTAACAATGCCACGTTCCCTTCGAGCCATCAGCCATCAGCCATCCATTGCTGTTGTACCGTGCACGCTTTTGATGTGTGTAGTCCCCCCCCCATTAAGGGCTTAGAGTCATGTCATCCCACGCATTGCACCTGCACGCCCCATCAAAGGTCAAAGATCAAGGTGCTCCTGTCGACTTAGATTTATTAATCACACATATACGTAGGCCTGGAATAATGGGGGGGAATCGTCACTTTTTATGTAATCATCACACAGTCTCTGTGCTGGGTGGCAGCCACAGCACCCCATTCCGCCCCACTTTCACAGTAATTAAATGCCGCCTAGGTCTATAAACAGATCTCACTGTCAGTGTCTGCTGCAGCATTCTTGGGATATTTGTTTGGGGTTTGTTTGCCGCTCTGCTCCGCCATGCTCTTAATGCCAAGTGGAATGAACTTGATGAGGCAGCAGTAGCAGTTGCCACTTTCGTGTACGAGTGGGGCGGCACAAAGGCAGCTTTGATGAGGAGGTAGCGCCACTGGCAGTGGCAACAGTAGCAGCAACATCTCGAGCCCCATCCGGCATCCGCGCTGTATGTAGTGCGGCAATTGAACTCTTCTGTTGCTGCTTCAGCTGCTGCTCCCCCATAAACATGTCTGAAACACAAAACATGCAATCTGGGGGCTCAACAACTTGAACTTGTTGTGTCTGTCCATTCTACAATACATTTGATGAGCCCTACCCTCCCTGCGCTTTTGTTTTTTTTATAATTTTCAACGACCATTCAATGTGGCCTCCGTCTAGAGGCCATTAAATCTTTCACTTTACTTTCTTTTGTTTTTACGCTGCGTTCGGATTGGTTTAATTCACATTTAAAGCATTTCCAAATGGTTTAAATTGGAAATATAAAATAGATACCTTCATTGACTGCTCAGAAAGGATTCGTACATATGTATAGAAAAGGCTGCTCTTTCAGGCTATGAAGTTGCAGATAGAACTGAGTGCAGTAGAGGGAATTTCAAAACTTTAAAGGGTAATGGAAATGATAGAATCTATCATTATTTTTCCACCCATCCCCACCATAAACTACTCGTAATTAATGGGTATTTTGGCAAATGAAATCTCTTCCAATTGATTTGCGTGGCGTTTTAAAGGTTGGCATGCCACCAACTCTCTATCGATGAAGCTGTACTCAGCTTGTATCTCTATAAATACACTTGAAATGCGAAATAATGTGTGATAAGCAAATGCATTTGCCACCGCGCTCCACCAGCCACCGGACTACTCTATGAATGAAAGGCAATTACACGGCGGACAGAGCACACAGCACACGGCAGCGGTACCGAAAATATATTTCCATCAGAGAACACGGCACGAACCGGAGCGGCGGTCGCGAGCAGCGTGTGACCAGTGACAAAAAACGCACAGAGTCCAAAAGTAAAACCAACTAAAAACAACAACAAAAACAACAAAAACAACAAAAAAGCTCTCCGAGATCGCGCTGTCAGCGGTGCTTGGCATTAGTCGCGCTCGGGACGGCACGGCAAACGATCGACGACATCGACAGCGACAACGACGTCGCATGGACTCCGTGCGCGATTTTCATTCACTTTTCACACAACTTCTCGCTCAGTTCTTCAAGTACACGAATACCCTTGCAGCTACCAATACCCCCACCACTGCCGATACCGATACGATTACGGATACGGGTACGGGTACGAGTACGAGTCCCAGCCAATAACAACGACCCAATCGACTGGGCCAGGCAGTTTCTCTGTTCCACTGTTGGGCAGTTCGACAGTCCAGCGGACGGACAGCGGTTAGTCGAAGGGAAACAAATAATTGATAATCGTAAAAGTTGATGGAAAATTCAGAAACGTCGCGTTGTCACGTAATGTCCATTAAATCGAATTTCATAATAATTAAGTCTTTGGAATATCGGTGAGGGAAAATTTGTCGCAGTTTTGGCAAGTAAGGAATATGAAAAGTGCCAGAAGAGTGTCTGTTTGTGTCTGTGTCTGTGTGTGTGTGTGTGTGCGTTAAATTAAATCACCGCATTAAAAATAACTTGGAGATCTTTAAATTTTAAATATATTTGTACCGAACCGTGCAGCACCGTACCATACCGTACAGATAGATAGATAGAAAGATAGATAGATATACGGCGACTATACGTACTATGTATCTAAACTTGTGTCCCCCCAAACGCGCCAAAGTAATCAAAGAAACAAAGATACAAAATACAAAAAAAACAAAAAAGTTCGTAAAAAAAAGGAAACCCGCGAGAGTGTGTGTCCAAAGTGCGATTGTGTGAGTGTTTGGCAAATGTCACTTGTGGCCGCAATGTGTGTGCGTCACTGAAGATAAAGCAAACCAAACCAAACCACACACACAGCCGCACGCGATATATGTAAATATATGTAGTATCTGCATACAAATGTATATATGTATTATTCTATTTACGCGCGTGTCTTGTAGCCAAAAAGTAAATCTTAGCAGACGCAAAAAATGGAGCCCAACAACAGTAAACGCTCCAAGAAAGGACGCAAGTCGCGGCCAGTACAGGCCCCAATCGAACAGGAGCTGCAGCAGGAACCGACACAGGAACAACAACAGCAGCAGCATCATCATCCTTGGGATGAAGGTAGGCCTCAGCTCCCATCCGATCCCCATCTCATCTTTGTTCCGAACGAACGTGGCTGCATTTGCCCCATAAATTAGCCTCGCATTACGCATACGCTGCGTGGGCGTTGTAATGACAATTTTTGACGAATATAGACCATGCTGAGTGTGCAAGAGTCTGTGTGTCTCTCTATAGATACCCGAGTGAACTGTACTGTACTATACTATACTGTATAGAACATTACTTATGACTGTGTGCCAAGTTGAACGCCAGCCAAAAGCTATGACAAGTCGTGCTCGCTTTTGGCGCCCCAGCGGAAAAGCGTTTTCCCAATTATACACATGTGCATATTTCGCAGCGGAATTCAGAATTCTCAGACAAAAAATACAACGGAAATTGGTAATCAAATGCACTGGCCTACTAATATCATACAATTGTCTGGCCTCTTGAATGTAGCAGCGTAGGGAAACTTTGCTTTAAAATTTGTCTTGCAGTAGATAAATACAAAAATATTCTCATTTCTCAATCAGTTCTGTAGATGAGGTGAAAAATAAACAATCGAAAACTTAGGTAGCATAGCGTAAACCAAATCAAGTGGTTCTTAAATATTTTATTTTTTGTGTAATCGTTATGCATAATTGGCTATGTTTCCTATAGAGCATATACGCTTCAATGGCAATTCAGAATTAGTTTTCAGTTTCGAAATCTCAGAGGTTGTTTGGAATTCAGGTAAACAGACCGAACGACTCCATGCTAGCGGCATCTTCTACTGCTTAAATATTTCCCAAGCACAATGGGCGTATTGTGTGAATTGCCAAACCGGTTGTAGCTTCTCCCTCCCCACTGCGGAATACCGTTGCAGTTGCATAGATCAAGATTTAAATTAGTCAGAGAGAATCAATGTGAGGCAGAGTCTTTCCCTTTTCCAGACAACGAAAGTGAAAACCGTTCGACCTGTTTCCATTCCCATGTACAGCTGGATTGGTGCACCTCTTCGGAGAGCTTCCCGCTGAGCCACTTGCAGCGCTTTTATTGCCACTTGAAAAGCATTTGCACACTTGCAGGTGATAAAAACAGCTGTCCATAAACCTGACTGAGACAAGTCCCAGTCAGTGCAGAAGCGAGACTCTGCACACGTAGTCCGTCTCGGGCGTCATATGACGATGATGAGGGCCCTAAACATATGGTTTCGCTATCTTATCTACCCCATTCGGGGACGGGACAGAGTTTAGCTATCCATTTAACTGGCTGGCAGTGCCGCTGATAAGTAGGGGACTTGTTGCATCATCTTTGGAGGTTATTTATGGCAAAGACTATAACTATTTAGTGGGTGGGGAAAGCCTCAAAGTGGTTAGACATATAATTAGGGGGGTTGGCAAAAATAAAATTGGCTGACAGCAAAGTACTAAGCGATCTCCAACAAGTCGATAGAGTAGCACAAGATATCGTAGGTTATCGTCGTCATTCTTGATTGCATTTCCATCTTAGAGCATTGAGTGGTGAAGTCATTTGCTATTCCTAGCAGTCATATTTATGATTATAATATTACAATCATAAATCTATAGGCAATCGAGAATTCAATTTCATACTGTAGCTAAGCAAAGTATTAAAGGTTTTCTGTATAACTTATTCATTAATCAACCCATCGGAGATGCTAAAACTTCTAGTAGAGCTTCCTGTTACAAGCTCGATCAATGTGCTAAAAAATTCAACACAAAATGCCACTAGACACCATCCAGAGTGCTCTTGAACGGCACATTTCAGCCATTGATTAGCATATCCAAATACCCAAGAAAACTGATGATTCAGAGTGGGTGAAAATTGGCTGGTAATTGCCAGAGAAAGAGTAGAGAGTCACAAAAAGTTGGTCGGTCGTTGGATCGGTTGGCTGAAGGCCCGGCTAATGGAAGTATGATTGATTTCCAATTAGCATCCCACCGCACATCACATGAGCAGCCATCGCCCACTCGTATTCGATGGGGAATTCTAAAACAAACTTTGACCTAATTGCAGGACGAGCAGCACGGACAGCACCCAGTCCGAATAGGGCCATGGCCAGCACTGGCACAGCACTGACCCGATTCCTGACCTGTATGGCACCAGTGATTGGTAAAATGCCTCCACACACTAGTATCTCACCTTCTCCTACCATTGTTATTGTGCCTCGTCTTGTTGTGCTTCATTCATAAAGAGCAGCGGCAGGTCTGCTGCGGCAGCACAACATGTTGCCAGGCTGCATCTTTGATTGTCTAAATCCCATTCTGAACAGTTCTATGTGGGCCAGGAACAATCTCATTTCGCCTCTTGATCATTTTGTGCGAGTACTTTCATTATTCATGAGTTCTGAGTGGGGCAAGAGTTCCCTAACTTTTGTTTTACTTTCGCTGTGACTTTGTTCAGTCCATCTATATCTATAATATCTGTATGTGGGATACCCACCGCCATCTATTCCTATACATATGTTTAACTCTATACTGTATATTGTGCTTGTTTGATTTTAATTCGGTTCTGCTTTGTCCTATTCGTTTTGTTTCGTCTTCGTCTTCGTCTTAGTCTCCGTCTCCGTTCTCGTTGACTGTCGCGTGTCGTCGTCATCGTCGTGGTTGTGGGTGTGGGTTTGATTTTCTTTTCAGTTTGGAACAACGACTAATCGTCAATAGAAAATATGAAGAGAAGCCAGCTGCTCTTCTCGAGTGTGTCTGTGTATGTGTATCATGTATATGCGCTATCCCTGAACTATATTTATAGGTTTGTACATAAATAATTCAATATCTGGCCAGTCAAGGTCATCAACGGAAAGTCTCTCTCTGTGTGTGGGCAGTGCGAAGAAAACTCAGCATAAAAATGCACTAAAAATATGGAAATTTCCCTAAGGAACTAACAATTACGGTCTGCAATTTACATTTCGGAATTCAATTCTATTTGATTCGCATAATTAAACCGTACAATGAACTCGTTGCGGCTCGGACACAGCGATTCTGCAATTGTGTCATGAGAATTTATTTTCAAAACAAGCAAAATTTTGCAACTAGCACACAGAGCACAGAAAAAGTTTAGCCGGGACATAACGCATACGCAATGTGTGCCAGTTTTTGAAGCGGTTTCTCTCATTCATTAGAATAAAGGTGCCAAAGAGCAGGAGAGCGGGCGCCTGTCCTCTAGATGATAGATTATGGAGAGAATAGGAAGACAGAAATCACACATTTAACTAGCCAATACCGCGAAAGAGAGCGTGAGAGAGCGTGAGAGAGCGTTGCTTGTTAACACGAAAGAAGGGCTATCTGTCGAGACCGAGGATGAATATACTCTACTTTAGTAATTAATCTAATGATATTTGCAACTCAGCATAGCGGAAACAGTCGTGTGACGTATGGTAATCCCATTTAAGCTGAAGATATCGCAACTAAGACTAAGACTAAATGACAAATAAATCACAAGATACTGAGAATATGATATAGTAGTACGAGGAGATAGTGCCGATTTATTCAAATAAATTAGCAAATAGATTTTTGATAGAATACTTAACCTTTTTAAGATTTATGGCAAATATTCAAATATAGCAAACTGATTAAAGTATCTGAGATTAGTCTCCAAAGCAGCAGATGGACACACAAACATTTATAGCTAACTATATGGACACGATAGTCGCTGCTGCTGATACTCGCTTTTGAAGGGCATAATAACTTGGCATGTCTTGGCGATAGAGTAGCGCCCTCAAGTGCGTTAGCGTTACGCTTAAATGATTCTAAATTTAGAGAAGAGCCGCCTAGTGGCGGCATTGGCGACCTTGGACGGCACCGCTTACGTCGGCGGTGCTGTTTGGCGACATCATCATCATCATCACCGCCATCTTCATTATTGCATGCAACCAGTGGGCTGGGAGGAAAGTGCAACACGTTGCCCAGCTAGCCAACCCATGGAGGAGGAAGAGGAGACTCTGTCACCGTTGTCACTGTTTTAGTTTCTATCTCTCTCCCGTTTCTCTCGCTTTTCAATCAGCATTTGGCATTTCGAGAGCAGCGTCAAACGTAGTCAGCGACGTCTCCGTACACGTTATGTCTCTGCCTCAGCCTCTGCCTCAGCCGCAGTTGGCATGGCAGCTCGTATTTGTTTTCAACGTGGATAGTTTTTTTTTTATACTTTTGCTAGTATTCAAAACGCGATTAGACGTCGAACATGTGAAGCTCAAGAGACGTCCGTCCGTCGTAGTTTTTACTCTTTTCTTTTCGGTTTATTTTTCTAAATTAATATTATTGTTTTTTTTTGTATTATTAAAATAACTAACCACACTCCTAACGTTCTTTCGAGTATGGTTTATGTTTTCCTCAGTGTGGCCGGCAATTATGGTGAGTGGTTGGAGTCGGCCCGGGCCGCACGTTTAGTTTAATTGATTTGCATGTTACGCAATGCGATGGCAGGGTCGGGGTCCCAATACCCGCCCAGCAAATTGACAAAAGTGTAATGACCAGCAGCGTAATGATTCCTAGGCCGATTACACGGAGTACAACTATTTATAGAGCGTTACGTGTGCTGCTCTCCGTCCGTTCCCGTCTCTATCTGCGGACACATTCTGTTGCAAAGTTCAACTGCCACAATGTTCATGAACTTGTCCATGATTGGGAATTGATTTCCAGTTGTCAAATTTCATATGTGAAAAGTTACTTTTGAGGAAAAGTGCCAGGCAAATCCACTCGACTGCAAACGAGTGTGGCATGGGAGGCAGTCCATGTAAGGCAAGTCGCACCACAGCAGTTACGCTCGAATTGTGATGGTAAATTTATCCTCATATTTACTTCATACATGGCCAAATCTGCTGCCACAGTAGAGACTTGATAGGGAAGGTAATTTCTTGGGGGAACCAAAAGCACTGGAATATTGGCAACCCATTAACCATACACATATATGAAGTTTGGAACTATGATGGCACTATTCAGCAGTCAAATTGGGAGAACCAATGATGACAACTTGGTGGCAAATGAAAATATCTTCAGAATATTCCGATTTTTTGATAAGAAAATATCAAATGCCTAAGATAAATCTACATACAAATAAAGAAAGGAGTTTATTTCCCACCTGTTTAAGTCTTTTGCGACTGAGTTCATTTATTTTTCTATATAAATCAATTTTCTGCATAACTTAGAAATGAAAACTAACATGAGGTCACGGTCTAAAGGGAAACAAATGATCAAATTTTCTTACCTCACACAATCCATTTTGAGGAATGATCAATCAGGGGCATGATCAAATCAAATTATAGACTCTGAATGAATTTGCATCATCCGAGGGGTGTGTACATATGTATGTACATAAATCTGTACATATTTATATCGTGAGCATAAGATGTAATGTGTGTTTTCTCTAGTACCCATGCAGCTCTTTCATTCACCCGCAGACAGATCCATAAAGGCGTAACGGAAAACAAATTCTGTTTTGTACAAACAATTTGGTTTCATGAGCTTGTAATTGTTCATGTGATTACGTTAGTTCCAGTACAGACAAACATATGTACATACAAACAATAATTTGTTGAATGTAAAGCACAAATCGGCTGAGAAATCTGAGGCACATGAACATGAAATCAGAAATTTCAGTTGTTTTGGTAGATCGCTTGGGCACGATTCGCTCTTGTTTATCGACGGTGTTCTAGATTAACGGTAATGGTAATATTATGTCTGTGTAAAAACCAAACTACAAATTGTTTACGACAAAAAAAAGGCAGAGAATGAACGAGGAAAAGCGAGAGGGATAGTGTGCAGTAGAGTAAAGACTAAAGAGCAAGAGCAACAATTTCAATGGTGAAAATTGTTAAGCATAAGTACGAGTATTTTAAAACCCAAACACAAGGCAAGAAAATTAGTCTCTCGACTGTCGGGTTTTTGCTTTTGGGGGGGCCTCTGGCTGGCGAAAAGCGAATCGGACGGGCCAGTCGGCCCCGGACAATTTCAATGCACGGCTCGGTCTTCTGTTCTGTTCTGCTCTGTGTCCGTTCACTTCACGCGAATTGCGCTGCGCTGCGCTGAGATATTTGTGAGGAAAGCAGCAAGAGCACTTTGGCACTAAAAGTACTCTATGTACAAGAGTATTCGTATTCGATTGATTTTATTTCAATATAAAAGAAACACGAAACAACGAAACACTTAACGAAAAAAAAAAACGAATCGCAGGGATCAAAGGATTATCCGTGCATCCGCCTTGAAAGGAACTATTTTGGTAAGGGAAATACACAGTTCCCAGTTCGAAATAATTTCGTAATTGCATTCGAATAGTAATTTCGATATCGAAATACTAATTGTGGGAATTATTCATATTGTCGTTGTTGTCTCTCTTGCCCATTCCATCATTCCATCATTCTCTCCCTCTCTCTCTGTCTCTCTGTGTGTTTTCTCTGCGAGAGCATCATATCATCTTATGTAATCCGAATGTGGTGGTGGCAGTGGTTTATTGTCTTCTACTTGTCTATCCGAGTCTCGTTTGCTTTGGCTGATATTTTTAGCACCTGTTGCACTGTGAAAACACCTGAGTCTTGAACCCATCACTCATCACTCTCTTTCTGTTTCTCTACATTCCATTGCCATCCCCGCAGTGTCTCTGCCCGGTGCCGCACCTGGATCTGGAGCTGAGCAGCCAACAATTCTACTGATCAACGGCATCGCCGACGACTCCCAGCTTCAGGACAGGCAGAGCAAGGCCGCCGCCTTAAAGTTGGCCCTCGAGAGCAATCCCCAGAGCGAAGGCATCTCCTCGCTGGGCAACCATCCCGTATTGTCAGTGCCAACGACGCCGGGAGGCTCGCATCTGCTGGACTTTGAGTCCCACCTCATCGAGAACGTTGTGGGCCAGGGCAGCGGAGTGGGCATCAGGGAACTGACGCCCTTCGAGCAGGAGCTGCAGCAGGGCACATCCAAGGTCGGAACAGACGATGAAGCTTCTGTGATAGAGGTAGAACCAGCCGGGGCCAAGACCAAGCAGGCCATTAAGACTCTTGCGCCGCCCCATCAAATCGCCGAAGTAGACGAAACGGCCAACACACCGTCGGAGGCAGTGCGTCGGACCGCTGAGCAGCTGGTGGAGGAGATCGACGAGGCGCTACAGACTTTAGTGCCGCCACAACAAATCCCCAAGTCAGAAGAGACTTCCCAGCCTTCGGAGTTAGTGCGTCGCACCGCCGAGCAGCTGGTGGATGAGATAGAGCGAGAGCTTATTGAAACGCTGAGCAAAGATGTAGACGAGGCCAAGACTGAGCACGACAACGAGGTGAAGCGCGATCGCGACGAGCTGAGCTCGCTCTCACAGCAGGTGGAGGTGCAGCTGAACGAGCTGACCAGCATCCTCAAGAACAAGCCGCAGGCGGAGATTGTGTTGGAGCTGCCAGAGCCAGAGGAGGAAGAGCCCAGGCCACTGAGACACGCTGCCGCCAACGAGCTGAAGCTCGTGGAGGTGCCCACGCCCAAGACCGAGGCTGAGGAGCAACAGCGGAAGGAGTTTATCGACTCGCTGCCACAAATCGAACAGCACGGGGCAGGGGAGACCGAAACGGATGCCCAACGACTCTCAGCGGACTGCAAAAGGGAATATTATCAGTCGCTGAAGAAGTATCTGCTGCAGAGCAGCCAGGACAAGCCGCCAATACCGCTCCAGACCTATCGCTGGGAGGATCTTCGAAGAGCCAGAGAACGGGTAAGTTCACACCAGACAGACATCGTCCCATACTCCCGATACTCATTTCTGTTGCTCCGCAGGGTGGTTATCCTTGGACGCATCTGTACAAGCGTCCCCTGGGACCCGACGAGCAGCCGGAGATTGTGCTGCTCCTGCGCAAGTCCCAGGAGCTGCGATTCAAGTCCGAATCGCCCAAGTCCCTAAAGAAAGTGCGCTACGACGAGCAGGTGCTGGTCAAGGAGACCGAGCGCTACATCCAGGACCTGTCCGAGGACGAGGCGCTAGCCCACACCTCCGAGGACAGCAGCGAGGAGTCCGACTCGGAGACCGAGTCAGAGCGTGGCACCCACAACGAGGACACCCTCAGCGAGTGCATCTCCTGTGTGTCCGACTCTGTGCTCGCCGTTGGAGGCCACAACAAGCCGCGCAAGACCAGTCGCCTGGCCCACATCCGCGACATAATCCGTCGCAGGCGCAGCGGACGCACCCACGAGGACGCCCAGTCGCTGCCAGGCACATCGGCAAATCCTAGTCGACAGAACAGCGTCCACGAGCTAGCCCCACCGCCGGGCTCTCTGGTTCCAAATACACAGAAACCCCCGAAGAGCACCCCGGCCAAGCCCAAGCAGAGCTTCGACATCATGAAGAAGCTGAAAAGTCTGGCCGAGAGGCAGAAGAAGCGCCTGAACATCAAGCGCATCACACTGAAAAAGGACGAGAAGATAGTCCTGGGCGAGCAGCAGAAGATCATGAAGCTGAAGGCCTCGCCCAAGTCGGATCGCGGCGAGATTCCGCACTTTATCGAGAAGCAGGACTCGGACGACATACTCGAGCTGGTCGAGTACGATGAGTCGCCCTGTCGCAAGCGCAACAAGGAGGAGCTCGAGCAGGAACAGCGTGAGGACTTACCCAGCACCAGTGGGGTAGCAGCGAGTGTCCCCCAGCCGGAGGAGATCATTGAGTTGCCCGTTGCAAAGACTGAGACCGATGCCCCTGCCCTGGAGATCACAGAGCCGCAGGAGGAGAAAGTGGAAGAAGGCACAGCTGAAGCCGATGGCACAGAGTCGCCGCCCAAGAAGACTCCTCGTCTCCGTCGTGAGCATGTCTATGAGGAGATTGGACACCAAAAACCCGAGCTGGTGGATCAGCCCATTATTGAGTTGGACGCCCTCAAGAAGTCGCTGACGCGTCAGGATCATATGGCCATCGATGACATTGAGGCCGCCAAGGCGGTGCCCCTGGATCGTATGGGCAGCAGTGAGGAGGAGCAGGTGGCCGGTGCCGGCAAGTCCGGAGCACTCCTGGCTCCAATCTCATCCATAGACTCCACCTCGTCGGACGAGGAGCGTGCCCGCCTGGCGCAGCTGTCGCCCGTGGCCGAGGAGAGTGACGCAGAGCCAGTGGAGGCCGCTGATCTGCGTCCCGCGCTCAAGAAGGAAGCATCGCCAGCGCCCTCGGACAAGAAGGTGACCTTCTCGCACGTCGAAGACGAGGCCGAACCGCATCGCGAGGACATCGAGTTGCCCCAAGAAGTGCTAGAGGCAGCCAGCAATGCGGCCAGATGGAAGAACGAAAGGTAAGTGTGATGAACCGATCCCCCCACAAGTCACTGCCCACGCTTGACACTAACACTCGGCACAAAACCTCCAACCAACCAACCAACCAATCGAAATGGTGGTGTTGCTCTAACCCAATCTTGCAGAAAGTCTAACCCGTTTGCCCTGCTCATGAAACTGTTACTAACCCTCTTGCCGGGAGTTGGCCAGCGCAGACGCTATCGAAATCGAAATCGAAGCACCACCACCTACACGAAAGCACCAGCAGCACCACACTACCAAGACTATCAATACCAGTACACAGAATACAGTAAACACCCACAACCAGTCCTAGTAACAAGCAAACACAAATCCTCCTGGTGGATACGGTTGAGAAGTCCCACCCGCTGGACACTCTGCTGCTGCTACAGTGACGGTGGCACTAACAAGTTTTGGTAGAGGGCTCCAAATGAAGGTGGCTTTTTATGATATAGACCAAAGGTAAGGCTTCTATGTACTGTGTGCCGTCTTCCACTCATTGTTGTCTCACAAATGTTGGTGTTGGTTCAGTAAATGTATTCTGCGGTGAAAGGAGTTGGGTTGCATAACTGGGAAACCCATGTGTACTCGTATAAATCATAAATCCATTGAAAAATACATTATTTTAAAGGTGGAAACAACGCCTCTAAGCGGGATAACTATCTGGATCTATGTAAATCTCTGATAGTAAATGATAGATTTCCTATGTACCGTATACAGTATATTTAGAGATCTAAAGGTCAACGAATGACAAGAAGATTTCCGGCAGGCAGGCAAAGCCAGGGCAGCCTCTAAAATAGAACATGAAAGTGCAAATGTACAAATGTATGTAAATTTGTATGTATACATATGTAGGTACATAATTGTTACGGTACTGCTGGCTGCTACTCCGCCTGCTGTCTGTCTGATCAGGCCACAGTATGACAGTATAACAGTATAACAAGCAGCATAGAAAACATACAAATGCAATCCTAATCCGTCATCTCGTACACAGTCGTTTCTGTGCGTGTCTGTTCATGTCTCGATCTGTTTGTGGCAGTTTCTGTGTCTGTCTGTGTGTATTTTTGCTAATTTTAAAAAGAAAACAACAGCAAAAACCATTTTCATCTTTCGAACAAGTATTTTCGTTGAGCAAAATCTGTGTCGCGCAAAAAGCAAAAAGCTCTCAGTCCTGGCCGAAAATCGCAACGATGTAGACACGGTCGCCGTCGCGCCGCACACACGAAACTACACCTCGTACACCACACCACACCACACACCGCACAGAACGCAGAGTAACGGAATCCACCGAAGAATAATCGAGAGAATAGCTCTATACAATTAGACACCCCGCACAAAGTGATTTCCATTCAGAAAGGTCAAACCCGACGCCAATGGGTGGACTGTTAGCCCTGAAGTAAAGTTCGAACAAACTCTGTGGGCTGCAAGTGCCACGAAATTCCTCAGAGGCTGGGCAAAAGAATGTCGAGCTGATTCGGGCAGAAAATAAATTCAATGTCCAACGGAGGCGGTTGCTCATGCTCTGGTGATGGTGCTTAAAAATAGCCAACGACCCACCACGAAACGACAAGGCGACAAAAGCGAACAACAAAATAAACCAAATAAAAGACACAAAAAAGTACAAGAGGTGGATGAGGATAGAGTGGATTCCGACCGGGGGCCAAGTGAATAAGTAAACCAGCAACAGCTGTCTGCTCTCGTCGCTCTCTATCGCACTCAGTCGCGGAGATTATGCTAAATTCCCGTCGCTCCGCCTCGGTGGGCGCTCTGCCTGCCGAGAAGAAACATTTTGTGTCGCGAGTGGAGAGTGCCAGCGGCGCCTCTCTGGATGTTCGCTGTGCCTGCCAGTACTTTCAGTCCGAATCCCTGCTGCCGGAGCGCATCAATCCCGTGGATTCGCGGCCAGGCTCTCGTCAGGGCCATCACAGCGACCTGGAGCAGCAGTTTCCGCACCTGAATCAGAATGTAAATTTAAATCTCGGCTACCCCCGCGATGATCTGTCCACACAGAGCTTTGAGATTGTGAGTCATGCGGATGTGGCCGCCCAATCGGTAGATCTGAGCTTCATGGAACGCTATCCGGAGCTGGAGCAGACGGCCCGATCCCGAGGACTGGTTTTGCGCAGCATTTCGGATGCCACCGAACCGGATCCCGGTGGATCCTTCACGGCCGCAGGACGCCGACAGCTGTCCATGGGAGGCCTGTCCTCGGGCAGCGTTGGACGCTTCCCCGACACCTTGTCCATGCGCAGTGGCACCTCCCTGCGCCGCATCTCGGCGGGCAACTCCAAGATGGATCTCTACTGCGCGGACATCAATATACCGAATGCTCCTGCAAGCGGACGTCCAGGCGGCCAGCGATCGGCCAGTGCCAGTCGACGAGCCTCCAATGCGGATCTCTTCCAGGCCACCATCGTGCCGGGTTCGCTGCAGCCGCCCCAACTGAATCTGATCGCCGCTACGCCCAGTCCTGGAATGGCGGATCAACAGCCACATTTCCCCTCGCATCAGCCGTCTCCAGCTCCCTCGCAGCAGGACTTCCGCAATGCCAGGCCGCCCCTGTCACCGGATTACATGCGTCCCAGCGACGCCAACAAGGAGAATCAGCTGCCCGGCGATGTGCTGCCCCAGAATCGACCCATCGACGTGTCTCGCTTTGGCGGCGATGCAGTGCGTCCCTCCTTCCTCCTGGAGTCTGATTTCCAGCAGCTGAAGAGTCCCTATCAGCCGACCACCGTCACCACACCAATGGATCCCCTGGCCGAGACTGTGGCCGAGCTGGAGCAGATCGCGCAGGAGCACAACATCGTGAACATTCGCGACAACATACAGGCGGAGACACGGCGACCGCCCTCTATTGGTGGGGATCTGAGTGCCGCCTCCCTGAAGCTGGACGAGCTGACAAAGATCGAGATCATCCACGACATGCCAGTGGTGGATATCGATGCGCTGGTGCGGCAGGAGGAGCAGAAGGCAGCGGAGCATCGCAGTCGTAGTCCAAGACCCTCGCCCAGGCAACCCAAGGCCCCGCATGTGATGGCCACCCTCCAGCTGCCCTCGAGTCGGCCATCCAGTCCGTCTCCAGCGGAGTCAACACTTCCCTTGCAACCCCTGAAACGCCAACACACTCCAGAGAGGCAGCTGTCACCGGAACGTCCTTCGAAATGGACTGCCGCTTCCCCTCCACAGCAGCAGCAGATGGTCCAGCCGGCAGCCACGGCAGTCATCAGTCTGCAGGATGCCTCTTCCGAGGTCAAGAGTTCCTACACCTCGCGCTTCAAAGCCATGTTCGCTGCCAAGGAGCCCAGCCAGAAGTCTCCGACGCAACAGCGTGCCCGAACGCCCAGTCCCAAAATGGAGAGGGAACGCTCTCCGTCTGCATTCTCCCGCGAGAAGTCGCCATCGCCCATGAAAATGTTGTCGGTGTTCTCCAAGGCCAAGCCTCAGGCCATGTCGATTGTCACCACCTCGGGCGCTGCGATGAAGGGCAAGGAGGCGGAGCCGTTGTCTGTGCGCGTCACAGAGACCTTCTCCCTGAAGGTGGACGAAATGGATCAGTATGGATCTCGGCCAGCCAAGCCCCCGGCTCCTCCACCGCACGCCCAGACCATGTACAGCAGTCGCGAGGATTTTGGAGCGGCAGCGTCCTCGGAGCGGGCATCGGTGGACATCAGCGAGGCCTTTGCCCCGGTTGTGGTGTCCGCCCTGCCACGAGGTGGCAGCGGAAGCGTCAGCGGCGGCAGCTTCATGGCCGGCAATAGGAATCTTTACTCCAGCGAGATTGAGATGCCGGAAACGGCCTCCTGGGCAGGTGCCAGTAGGGAACCCTCGCAGGTCGGCGGCAGTCGTCCGCTCATCTCGGTTCCCATACAAATCTCCGACAGCCACGTGTATCGACCGCTGCGTTCGCCCTCAGAGCAGCGCTTTGGGGTGCAGCGCAAGTCCTCGTTCCGGGAGCCTCGCACCCAGTCGCACGATCGCGCCCCCCGCCTTAGCGGCGGCTCCCAGGAGCAGCTGTACGGGGCGGGGCGGGGCATGACAAAGACGGTTAGTTTCCATTTTGACGAACGCAAGTCGCGCCTTGCGGAATTCGCCTCCGCAAGTGAATCGCCCCTGACCCAAAATCAAATCGAACACAGAGAGTTCCTCGAACGGACCTACTTCTCTCGGTAAGCCATCAATGCCACCCTATGTCCGGCCCAGACCTCTTGGCAATACCACCAAAACCACCACCACCACCACGACCACCACACACCTTTCACACCGGGTGACGGCCTCCTGCTAACCTTCGCTTGTCACTACTCCACACACACAGATCTACTCCCTCCGTTAAATCTCTGATCTCTCTCTCTCTCTCTTTGTTCTTGCAGTGATCATGAATATGAGCCCGTGGGCGTGTCGCCGGCACATGAAGCCTCGCCAGAGCCAGCGTTGGTGCCCGCCCACGCCCACACCCACACCGAGCTGCAGGTGCCCATGGACATCGATGGACAGTTGGACAGCTCGGCAGGAACAACGCCCCGAACCGAATCTCGCACCGACTACGAAATACACACCAGCCAGGTGGACTCCAGCGCCCTCGAAGAGCTGCCGCTGCAGCCGGAGAACCGCAAGAAGAGTTTCATGGCCAGCGCCCAGGATCGCACCAAGAAGATGCAGGACGGTCTGCGGCAGCAGGCGGGAAAGCTGCGCACCAAGCTACGCAGCAGCCAACAGGCGAAGCCCAAGCCCATATCGGGCAGCCCCAAGGCCAAGGCCAAGGAGCGGAGACGCTTCAAGGCGCCCGAATTCTCAAAGATCAAAATGCCCGAGATCAAGCGACCCGACATGTCCAAGTTCAGGGACATCAAGCGACCAGAATTCACGAAATTCCACAAGCCAGACATGTCCAAGTTCAAGCTGCCGGATAAGTTCTCGACCCTCAAGCTGAGACGCAGCAAAAGCTTCAAGGAAAACGAAAGTGAACTCACGTCCGAGGAGCCACAGGGCACCAGTGGAGATGCAGCAGCAGGAGGAGCAGCGGAGGCTGCTGCCCAGCCAGCGACTAAGAAGAAATTCGAGTTTAACTTTGGCACCTATCCACGTGCCTTCCGCAAGAAGAAACCCACAGAGGAGCCACCACCACCGCCCGCGTTGGAGTCATCGTTGGGCACAGAGCGCCTCAGTCTCAGTGTGATTCCCAGCACCGAGACGCAGCCATCGCAGACATCCACGAGCTCGCCGCAGGGGGATCGTGGACCTGGTCCGGTGCGTTCCCGCTGGGCGGACAAGTTCTCGGATGTGAGCTACAACGACAGTGAGGGATCGCGGTACAGGCGCTACGGCAGCGAGCTGGAGAGCTTCGACCGCGAGTCGTCCTTGGAGCGACGCATGAAGGAGGACCTGGAGGGAGCCGAGGATACGGCCAGCGAGGCCCAGCAGCCACAGACAATGGGAATTCTGGGCGTGGTGGCTGACAGCAAACAATTTGCAGAGTTCGATGAGGAGAATCGGGCCATCCATGAAATCTCCAGCAAGCGAACGCGCGAGTTCAAGCGCCGCCCGATGGTGCATCAGGACTCTGATTTGCGCTCGGAGGACAGTCGCGATGCCGAGGGCTGGACGGAGAAGGACATACAGAAAAACAAGCTGCTGCGCAAGGCAGAGCTGGAGGCGGAGGCTGGCTACCACAAGTACTACGATAGCCATTCCACGGCCAGCTCGGGCAAGAAGGTCGTAATGGAGCCCATCGACGACGATGAGTTCTTCCTGCGCAAGCGCGGCATCTCTGAGGATAACATCCAGCTGCGGCAGTACATCAGTGCCGCCATTCGCGAGGGTTACGACATGCCCAATGCCCTGCAGCATGTGGGCTACTCCGCAGATCCTGTACCCGGCGAATATGGAGACTTTGAGGCACCGCCAGCAAAGCCGCGTCGCCTGCATCGCCACTACAGGCCAGACATTGACGACTCGCAGGAGTTTCAGCGCAGCGACTACGGCGACGATCTGTCCATGTCCCAGAATGGCAGCGAATTTACCCCAAAGCGACCTCTGCGCAAGGCACGCAGTCGCAGCAAACAGTCCGTGGATGGCAGCCAGGAGATACACATGGGCGATGGGGCCAGCAGCAGCATTCAGTACTTTGACGACGATGAGGAGTATTTGAGGCCTCCCACGCGGGAACAGCAGGAAGCGAAGGATGAAGCGGCAACGGAAAAGGTGCCCCAACCACTCGCCCCGAGGCGCCACAAGAAACGCACACGCGACGATGCATCCGTTGAGAAGGATGCAGACTCGTTCTTTAATGGCTTTGGTGGTAGATCAGTATCGAATACCTTTTTGCAGCCACACGAAGATGTAAGTAGAGCGCAGAGCTGGGGACTCGAATGGGTATTCAGTCTCCAATTACCAATTTCTGTTTCCATTTATCAGGTAATTGTTTATCGCACTGAGCACGAATATCGTCACATACCGCTAGCCACTCCCGACAACTTCACGGATGGCGCGTCCGTGCGTACACCCCGCTCCGAGGATGATCGCACCTCACGCGGTGCCGACTCCCTGGTGCTGGACATGAAGATAAAGCCCGGGGAGGACAACGAGCAGGGAGCAGCCAGAAGCAAGAGCGATGAGAGGTTCGTCATCGACATGCTGGAGAGCGACGGGTAAGCATTATTAGCTGCTAGATATCTGTCACGGATGTTCCGCTAGGTGTGGCTTTCTTGCTCGCTTCCTTTCCAGCTATGCGGTGGTGCGCAAGGAGACCCTGCCCAAGCCCACGCCCCCAGCTCGCCGCAAGAAGTTCACCCGATCGCCCGGCGAGAGATTCGCGACGTTGCCCAGCATACGCGGCTCCCGAGGCTCCCCTCCGCCCGCCCGGCCACCGCCGCCACAGCAGTATATACCCACGGAGGACTCGCCGCTGGTGCCGCTGGTGCCGCGTCGCAGATCGGCGGCCAGCCTGGACGAGATCCCACAGATGTTGATCAAGTCGAAGTAAGAGCCAGCCCATCGGTCGAGTCGCCTTTTTGTTGCCTTTTTGCGTTGCGATTGATTGATTGATTGATTGATTTTTGCGTTGACTTTTGTTATGTTTCGAATGCATTTTCGCAGTTAAGTTTTCATTTCTGTTGTTGCCACTAAGTTGTAGACTAAGTTTAGACTAAGACTAAGGGTTAGACGCACATGCAATGCTACTGCTACTAATTCTGACCCTAATCGAATAGAAACCACTCGGGACACGTACTCGTACACCCACAAATAAAACATGAATACACAAAACTCACATACGAATCCACAACTTCCAAGTTCCACACACCAGTTGGCCTCTTTTGCCTTTTGCCGATTGCCGCTTGCAGCTTGCACGGATGCCCAAGGCAAAGCCCAAGCCACAGATGAATCTAATGCACCTACCAACCTTCAACCTTTTCCCTTCAGCTACGAGAGTCAGCTCCAGAGGCAGCAGCAGCAGCCCCAGAAGCAACAGGAAGAGGAAGATGACTACGAGGAGCCCGGAGCCCTTGAGCGACCCGAATCACCACGCTCCAATCTGCAGTCTGGCGAAGTCATCAACAAAATGAAGTTCCGACCACTGCCGGCGCCACCGCGTCCACCGCGCGAGAAGCGCTCAACGCGCGCCGGAAGCAATGCCCTCGACAGCTACGAGGACAGCGAACAGGTGGCCAGCTCCAGCCAGGCGGACAGCTACGACCAGCAGGGTGAGTTCGAGGTGGAAGTGTCCACGCAGACGGACCCTCTGCCCGACGACTTTGTGTGCGAGGAGTTCGAAATCACCGAAGACATGAAGATCATTGAGCCGCGGCGAGGCAACGGATCGGCAGCCAAGACCCTTGAGGATCTGCTGCGTAGCGTCGAGACCCAGGAAACGCATGACGAGGTGGACGGCGTCCGAGTGCTAACAGAGGACGAGCAGTTGGCCAAGGGTCTGCAGCGCTTCAGGGATGCCAACCAACGGAGCATGTCAGAGCGCTCTCGGGCCTCCTCTCAGGCGGATCGTTCCAAGTCGCTGAGTCGCCCGCAGACGCCATCCTCGGCGGTGGTCATCGAGCGACGCGTGCCCACGCCCAGCCTGGTGGCTGGCGAGGAGCAGGATGCAACGGTGCTCGCATCGCTGATAGTGCGACCCATCAGTGCCGCCGATCTGGCGGATGACGAGCTGCGGCGCGAAGAGGAGGAGCTGCGCCGGGAGGGTCTGCTCTCGGACAGCTCGGTGCAGAGCAAGTCCGATGTGGAGGAAGAGGAGCACGGAGAGGTGGCCTTAAGCGACTATGCTGCCAGCTCAGCGGATCTGGATGCGGCGGTCGAGCAGCTGCAGCAGGCCCAGCTGGAAAGCGACTATGAGAGCCGGCTGGAGGACGACGAGGTGGAGCGCACGCTCAGGGACAGTGAGTATGAGGAGGAGGAAGAGGAGGATGCTGGCGAGAAGTACTCGGATCAGTATGACGAGGAGGTAGAGGAGGATGAAGAGACACGGCTGGAGAGAGAGCTCACGGAGCAAGAGTTGGACGAGGCGCTCGAGAAGGAGCTGCAGGAGGCCATGGAAAAGGAACTCTCAGACTACAGGCAAAAGGAGGACACGCTGTCAGAGGATGAGGAGGAGCATGCTCCCTCCGAGATCGAGTACCGTCACTCCGAAGACGAGGAGAAACTACAATCTGGGTCAGACACCAGGGAAGTCGTGGAGAAACCCATTCGTAAAGTTACCGCCAGCGAACCCACCGAGGCTGAAGTTACGCCCAAATTTGTGGCCACTCTGCCCACAGAACCCGCCTACGGCCACGACGAGCTGGATGAGGAAGACGTGCCCTTGCCACCACCACGTCGCAAGTCCACCACAACCCTCGAGCCCGCCGCAGCAGCCACCACTCTGACAATTGCCGAGCAAGCCGCCCGAGAGCTAACGCCAGTACAGTCCCTGCAATCCCCGCCAGAGCCACAGCTGCCCACTCGCTTGGCCGAGCTGGAGGTGGAGCGACTGCGTGTTCATGCACTGCAAGCAGGCCAGATTCAAGTCTCACAGCTGCACGGCAGCCACATCAAAGCCGACGATCTGGAGTGCAAGTCCGGCCAATTGGTGGTACAGAACATTGAACTCCCGCCCGGATTCATAGACGACATAGTGGAGCGCGTGCGAGAGCAGCGTCCCTCGCTGCTAACCACCGAAACACAGACCAGCCGCCAGGCCAGCAGTGAGCCGGCCACATCGGATGTGGAGCAGCCTGTCAAGCCGCCGCGTCACAGCAAGGCCACCGAGCAGTCGCCTCCGAACTTGGACGAACAAACCCAGACAGAAGTGGGACTGATGCCACTGCCACCGCCACCTGCTGCGTATCCCAGTGTCGAGTATTTGCAGTCCCTGGCACCGTTGGCCTTCTACAATTTGCAGCGCAGCGCTGAGGCCGAGCAGGCCGAGGCTGCTGGCTCCACAGAGCGCAAGGCACCACACAAGTGCAGGCGTCGCCATGTCCAGGAACAGGCCGAACCCGAATCGGGCTCTGACCTAGAGGAACAGCTGGTAGAGAGACCACGCTCGCGTTCCTCTCGGCGCTCGCGCACAAGGAGCGCCACTCAGCCGCTGGAGGAGTACGACGAGGATCAGCCGCGCACTGTGGTGCAGGCGGGACGGCAGTTCATAGCCGCCTGCAGTCTGGAGCTGGTGAACATCATCAACCAGCTGACGCACTACGTGCGTGGGGAGGCCATGGAGCCGCAGCAGGCGCAGCAGTCGCGGCACATATCCGCTCTCATGGTGCTCTTCATTCTGATCACGTTCGGAGTGCTGGTCTTTCTGCTGACCGGGCGACAGGTGCACACACATCACTGGGACTACTTTAATCCGCCCGGGAACGAGGGCAGACAGACGTGAGGGCAGTGGCGATCAATCCCATTAGCCGTGGGTTTGTCACGAACTATCCTTGGGGGGAAGTGGGGCGGGTTTTTGTTGCATTTTGCATTTTGGAGCAGAGAATTGTTTGCTAAATGGGTGAAAAACCAACGAATTTAAACGCGGCCAAGAGCCCGCTCGAAACTAGAAGGCCTTAATGATATACATACTAAAAACAACAAAATAAACAGAGAGAACTGGCTACTACTTTAGGAGAGGTGCGACAATGGGGAGGAGGCCCTCGTGCTACTACTAGTCACAGAGAATCACAATCGAATCGAAGCCCGGAATCCCAGTTCAACAGACACTGCATAAACCAAACAACCATGTATCTTGTACTAACTATAAAGAACTACTACTATCTTATGAAGGGAAACTCTAATTATATTCATCATTGTCTACCAGTGCGGCAGAAGAACAACAAGAACAGAAACAGAAACAGAAGAACAAACCCAACAGAAGCAACGATTATGTATTAGTTATGTACTTAACACATGCTATGTATGTACATAGACATTTCGTAGGTGGCTGCCTTTGACTATGGATTGGTAGGGAGCCCAAGAAACAGAATGGGAATGAGGAGAACTAATCAAATAAACATATTTATTTTCTACCAGCGAGGGGGAACGCGAAAAGAGATTCAATTGTTGGACAAATTGTTGTTAAATCTAGACCAAAGCGTAGCAATTAATATATAAACAAAACAAAAACTCTTTTTCATTGAATTCACTTAAAAGTTATAATTTGAAATGCGAATACTTAGCAGAGGAGAGCCGAGAGCAAAATATATATAAATATATAGAAGCGTATTTTCAATAAAGCAAAATGATATACAAATAAATGAAAGCTTATGTTTTGGTTATTTCATGGAATAAAGATAGTAGATTATACCGACACTTAGAGCAAGAAATCATCGTTGTATTTAACCATTTCACGATGGTCTTTGTGGCTTCCCTTTTGCGATTTGCTGGCAGCTGAACGGGCACAAGTGGAATTAGGAATTTGCCATTTTAAATAGAAAACTTTAAGCACTTACCGATTGATGACCAGACGGCGGATGAGGAGGCATCGTTAATGGGTTCGATCTGCGGCTGGCGTCGAGCCAACTGAACCTGCAGCACAATGCCTGTCACATTCTTGCCATGCATTTCAGCAATGGCGCGATCTGCTGACTCTGGCTTGGCAAAGGACACAAAGCCGCGGCTGCAAAGGAAGCAAACAATGAATACATAAGTACAGAATCAATAGTAATAGTACCATTACTTACCTCTTTTCAATCTCCATTGATACATTCACAATTGTGCCATAATCGTTAAAGGTTTTCTTTAGGAAATCTTCTGTGACTTTGTTGCCCGACACAAAAATGGTATTGCCAGCGCGTGGCTTCTCCGGCGGTGGCGTATCAATAGCCGCCGCCTTCTCGGCCATGTCGCGTTCTTCGCGGTCACGCTCAGTGGCAAAATGCTGATACAAGTTCTGGCGGCGTGGCTCCTCCTTGATTATCTCACTGATGATGGTCTCCTGGGCCACATCGTTTTGAGTCGACGAGAAGGGCTGGTAGGAGGCCACAGTAGTCTCCGATGTGGAGCGCTTGGCACGTTCCTGACCTTTTGGCCGCTTGAACGAGGTCTGATCCTGCTTTGTTTGCTGCTTTTGTATGGCAGGTATGGCACCGCTCTTGATCAGCTTGCGGGCCACCTCGCGTGCATCGCGCGCATCCGTGGGACGTTTAAGTGTCATCGAGCTCTCCGGCTCCGGCTTGGGTGCCTTATGGGCCTGCAGTGCCTTTTTCTGCAAAAGAAATAATAACATTAGAAACATTAGTCTGGACGTCGTGTTAGTTGGGACTCCGTCCCCACCTTCTTCTTGAGCTTCTGATATTTAGCCTGAAGCATCTGCTCCTCCTCAGTTAGATTAGTGGGAAAGTGTATATAAACCATTTTGGCAGTCCCTGATCTGGGTTACTGCACTATGTTTGTTGTTTTTAATAAGTTTTTGAACAATTTCCAGAATTTTTGTTTTGTTTATCGGTTCATATGCAGTGTGACCGCTTTTTTATAAATGTCATATACCTCACGACCCTCAAAAATGTACAAACGTAGAACTCCTAATTTTCAAAATATACCGCAAATACACATCAAATCTTAAATCATTTCCCCCGATTTTGATGTTCTTAATAATATGACTGGCTAGTGAGGATGCTCAGCGCTAAAACTATAATTTTATCAGATTCATATTGCTTTTATTGGAATGTTTCTAAATTAAGGTTTAAACTAAAAAGGTCAAATAAAATCAATTAATTAAAAAACAAACAATTAAAACTTTACGTGAGTATGAATGTTAGGTATTTGCCAACTTGTTGCTTGTCAGCGGGCAATATGATATGCTATGTGTCTTTGTCTACTCTATTTTCATCAAATAATATTAAAAGTTGCTCTTAATCAATTCGAGGATATCTTGTTCATATTTCGATGTTGTTCCCTCCCTATATCACACACCTTGCAAGTATGTCAGATAGTATCGAGTAGGCGATATTTTAATTGTTTTCTATCATATATTAGTATTTTCCAGTATATTTTAAGACGCGTTATGGACTCACTCATTTTAATAACCCAATGTAAGATAAAATATACTGTGTAGTTTCCATGTAGGGATAATATTTGAGTGGAAATAGTTATTGACCTACTTGTTTAAGTCCCAGTTCATACACAATAACTAAAATGAAAGTTTTTAAGTTTATCCGATCCGGTAGTAAATTAATTAACCTATCGTATAAAATTAAGTTTTCAGTGCTGCCGTTCCTGGCCTGCTAGTAATACTAAACCGAATATTGAAATCGAGGAAATATAATTTCACAACCATGCCGCGTGGGTAAGAGTGACCTTACTCCGCAACGCCAATAACACCGACAATTTGTATTAGTGCTGCAAACTGTGGTCAGAAATATTGCAACTCTGCGTGTTGTCCAGCACTCGCGCCATGTTGTCGCAGAGCTGTCAAAAATGTTCTTTCCTTCTCTTTCTTTCCGGTTAGCGTCATGGTAAGATTTAACAAAGTTTTTTCCGAGTCGGTTGAAAAATGTAAAAATTAGAGGGTGCAGCACACGCGAGATGAACTAAACATTGCAAAAATGTAAAGTGGCCCGTACGTTGAGTTAATACCCAGAAAAACAACATCCTACGCTGAAAAATCGTTCGAAATGAATGCGTTTCACCTTTTTCACGTGGTGCTGCGCACCAACACAAGCAACGCGCTGGCCAAAATTGACGGAGGGCAGAAATTTTCACACGTTTTTCATATATTGTTCTTTGCTTGCAGCCTTTCGAGAGATTCGTACAAACTGGTCGCATTGCCAAGGCCTCGGCTGGCCCCTTGAAGGGTCGCCTGGTGGCCATTGTCGACGTCATTGACCAAAACAGAGTAAGTGGCGACAGCCCGAGGAGGCAGCGGAGCAACAGAAACAACAGGCGCGGCGCACTTGCCACTTGCACATGATGATAATTTGTCTTCTTGATAGGAAGTGCCAACTGACACATAAATGAAGCTAGTTTAACCCACTGAAAGCAAGCGTGCAAGCACCGCGACGCGACTCTGATATTGTTGCTGTCCGACGCCATCTCCAACCTAAAAGCAACACAACTAAGACTGTTTATTTCTTTGTAGGTTTTGGTTGATGGTCCTCTGACCGGTGTTCCACGTCAGGAATACAGATTGAACAATCTGCATCTGACCAAATACCGCATCAAGTTCCCCTTCACCGCGCCCACGCGTATTGTGCGCAAGGCCTGGACAGAGAGCGACCTGAAGGCCCAGTGGAAGGTCAGCCCCTGGTCCGTCAAGGCACAAAACATCTGCAAGGTGTGTATATATGATTGTTTACGTTGGATTTTAATTGTAGATTACTGTACATGATGATAATTTAATGTTCTTGATAGGAATTGCCGGCTGATACATACATGAAGCTAACTTTGTTTTTAACTGACAGTAGTCTTAAATAACCCCCCACTCTTTTTGTTTTTGTGGTATACTCTGGTGCTAATCAAATGCGTTTAAATTTATCTCTTGCAGCGCTCTCAACTGAACGATTTTGACCGCTTCAAGCTGCGTTATGCCAAGCGCCAGCGCAACAAGCTGCTGACCATTGCCTTCAACACACTGAAGAAGCGCACCAAGTTCGACGGTACTCCCCGCATCCTGAAGAAGGATCGCCGCGAGCGTCTGCGTGCCGAGAAGGCCAAGGGTGGCAAGAAGGCAGCGCCCAAGAAGTAAACAAAATAATTTAACGAAAGTAACTGCTTGATGAACATCCACCATTAATGGAGAAAATAAAAGAAAGTGTTATTTTTAGGAGAAACACACGCACGTGGCCGAGTTTTCATTTCGCTTGTGTTCGTTGTGGGGGAGGTGGAAAACAGGAGTTCATTTTGATTTTCAACAATTTTATTTGCTCTCAAGAAACAAAATGGTCTCAACAGTCCACAGTCTACGGTCGTCCCATCCTTTAAGCCACAGTCTACCAAGTAAAAAAGCAAATGCCAACAAGTGCCTAGGCATCGCCCTTGCAGTAGATCGTCTTCCAGTTGCTGGGATGGTTGTAGCCAAGGAGGATGGGCAGATGTAGGAACAGAGTGATATGCTCGCCCTGTATCGACGTCGAAACCTTGACCCAGTTGCGCAGCCATTCGATCATCTCCTCGTCGCTGAGATTAACTGGATTGAGGCCGCGCAGATAGCACGAGTACCGCAAGGCATCCAGGCTCAAATTGTGAACACCACCCTCGCGGGTTATGGCCTGGTCCATGTAGTGCACAAGGAAAGCGTGCTCGTGCAGGCGGTGACGCTTAAAGATGCTATTCTGCAGTCCGTGCATATTGACTAGGCTTTTCTACAAGAGGACACAACATGCAGTAGTTTCAATAGTAAATGCTAAGGGGTTCAGGTTTCATCATCAAGGCCTTACGACATGTTTTCGCGGCATTCCCAGCAGCGAGTAGGGTCCCTCGACAAATATATCCTTCACGTCTAGAAGCATCTCTGGCGTTGGATGAGTACCACTGCCCAGCAGGCCCAATATGTTCCTAAACTCAGCATGCTTGGGGTGTCCCGACAGCGTTTTGAGTTTGGCCTGCAGGCAGCGGAAGACGGACTTGTTGTACTGCAGTCGTGTCTTCATGTAGTAATTCTGAAAGTCGCTCCGCTGCTCAGCAGTCCAGAAGTGCGAGGTGAGAAATACGCGGGGATACCAAAAGCTGTGAAATAAACACACCGGGCGTTATTATACTGTTGCACCCAATGCTAATTGGCGAGGTCTTACACAAGGGGAAAGAATGCATAGCCAATCATTGGCAGTGAGCAGCCAATTAGGGCCGGTGCCACCTTCATCATGTCCCTCGGCATCATCATGTACAGCTCCAGTTCCTGGCGATTCAATGCCCTGATCCCCTGCGGCGAGTCATTGGCAATGCGGGAAATCTTCAGGAAGCGTTTCATGTCGCTGAAAAAGTCCTTCACGCCATCAAAGAAGACGTGATACAGCTGCATGGCCTTCGGGAAGTTCTTTTCGAGCACCTTGTCATAGTTCTTCACATAGTTGAAGTAGCGTGTGAATATGTAGTCCTGCATATTATCCCGCATCTGCTCCCGCTTTGACCTGGGAGCGTCCGGCTCTTTGGGCTTCTCATTGTCGGGCAGGGTGGCGGTTGTCTTGACAAGCTGCTGGCCTTTTGGCGGATCTTTTGGTGGGTCTTTTGGCTTGTTGGCATCCCAGCCCGTCTCATAGATGACCTTTCCAACGCTGGTTATCTCGGCGGCTACATTGCGCTTAATTGTTGGCGGTGTCTCTCCTCCAGTCGATTTGGCCGAATATTTCCGTTCTGGCGGCAGTGTGCAATATGACTTCGGTCCGTTATCGCTGCCGGTAAATGGGGTTTTAATGCTGATTGATAATTGGGGTCAGGGGATTGTTCTAACCTGGCCCTTGTGCTGGTAATGTATAGCTGTAACAGTCGCTGGCGATCTTGGGGCCAACTCACTGCCGAACCTTGGGCAAATCGCGCCGCCACACGCAGTGCCAATGCCATTCCGCAGAACTACAACCACAAACCGCACACACAAGTGCGTCCAATTACGCAACCGGCAACTCCAATGCAGGAGTTCTCCCGCAACAACGTTAATTTGAAGTATATGCAATATAAATTTCACATGAACTTATGGATTAGAGCTGCAAAACCATCGATGGCACTACCGATATATTGCAATCTAAAAATCACTGCCACCCGCGATAGTTTTGACAACATTTAAAGAACTCGAATGCAGAAAGCTTAAGAGCAAGCTTGACATTTGTCAATTTAGACCAACATTCATTTATAATAAACCATTGCAGGTGGTTTTTGTTACCCATTTGAGCGCAGACTGATTTAATTTACATATATCGATAGTCGGTTCTCACAGCCAACAGGTGTCGCTGTATGAACACGTAGACTTACATATGTAAATATGTATTAGCAGCAGGTGAGTCAAAACAGAAATTTCTTCGTTTAAACATGCAATAATAATCACTTTAAAATTAGAGCAGATCCTATTGGAAAATTTTTAATTTGCTGAAATATGTACTCATATTTTTTGTTCTTTTAAAAACTTCTGCCCCTTTTTTCGTACCGCAAACAGAAAATAAGTTTCAAATTGAGGCCAACACGATGTTTGGTCCTCAACAGTCAAAGCACTTTGAGAAATATTGCGTCCCTCAAAGAGAAAGCCCTCACCTTTTATAGTTCTACCATTTGGCCCCCAACGAGCGGGCTTTTCTCGCACAGAAAAACTGCTCGGAAAATTCGTTGGTTCGTTTGTATTTGCTCGTCTGTTGCGTCGGTTGTGGGCTTGTGTCGCACGGAAAACTGCGCGTAAGCTCGAGCATTTGTTTTCGCCTCGTACTAGATGCTGGCTGCACCAACAGCAGCAGCGTCAGCAGCAGCGCCAGGAGAAATTAAGCAAGTGTAGGCCCACGCGCCACGGCCACGGCAAAAAGCGTAACTAATCAAGCCCGGACGCTCATTTGAGCCATCAATGGCATCCAATTTTTGGCCATTTTGCGGCATAAACGGAAACGGAAATGTGCGTTGGTTGTTTGGAAGCGTCACAGGAATGGCATGTTGCGTTAAGGGTGCTTGAGCTTCACGGGTGAGTGGGGTGCTTTGCAAAGAAGAGAAGACCTTCTGAGGGTCTGGAAATTATAAAACTTAACGCAGCGCGTGTCCAACTTACTTGACTTTCCACTTCTCTGTGGGAAGACAACCAAGGGGCATGGCACGTCAGGCACAGAAAGAAGACAGTCTGTAAAACCATCTGTGGGTACATAAGTACATAAGTATATACACTCTTCTGTGCGTGGGTGTGTGTGTGTGTGAGAGTCGTATTGTATACGCTTGTTTTTTCCGCTTAGCTTCTGTGGCTCCTTGGGCCGATTTATTTATCTGGGTGCCCACACAGGGTACTCCTGGCACGTATTGAGCGATATGTACATATAGTTAGCCAGGGAGCTCGAAAAGCTTCAGTTACATTATTGACACATGCACAAACACACAGTTAGTTATGTACGAGAGAGCGGCATGAGTGGCATGGCACACGGCTGCCACCACATGTCGCACAACTTCGGTCGTTTGTTTGCTCCCCGCACAGGAGCCACTGACATAAAAATAGAAATATCCGTAGCCTGGAAGCCATAAATATGCTACGCCGCTAGCGCGTAAATTTAATTGAAAATACGTCAATGCTTCTCCGTTCGACCAACGATAACAACAACAGCTGAGGCCCCGAACTGCAGCCAAAGTTATCTGACATGAATAAATGACCAAAGGCTCTTGGGTCCCCCACAACAAGTTCAAGGTGGTTCCAAATATGCTTCACATTAAGCCAGTCCCAGCCCCCAACATTCACAGGGGGATTACATAAAGCACCACATCAGAATTGCCAATCTATGGAACTTTCCTGTCAGTGGTAGTCAATTTAAAATAAATTCCTTTTTATTGAATTGCCCGACCGGCAATGGATGGGATCGGATTGGATTGGATGGGTAGTTATGCATATTTGAGTTTAATGCCATTCCGTTTTGCTGGGTCATGAAAAAACAATTTGTTCGGATTACACTGCACAATCTTTGGCATCGCTGGGCACAATTGTCGGAGATTAAGTCTAGGAGGAGGGCGCTGTAAAATTCGATTTAATGGTTGAGATGCAGTCATTGGCATTGCATGGCCAATACAATAAACTGTCGTTTAGCTATAATTCAATTAGTTTCTGCCGACAGCAGTAATTGCGTGGTCTGTTAGCAAACGACCAAAGGCAGCCACACAATCAATACGTTTCACACAAAAAGAAAATGTCTGAGACAGGGCTGGCTAATTGGGCAATGTGCTGTCAAAGCCATTAGTTTATAAATAATAGAATATGGAGCAGACACAAACGATGGCATCAATTAGCATACGTCCTCGGCAAGCAACGAAGCAAGCCAAGGCAATGGCTTGCAGGCTTCCCAGGCAAAGCTGTGGAAAAAGAGCGGCTTTTGGCTTTGGTGTCGTGGCCGCTTCAAAGTTAATCATACGCACCGCTGAACCGTGGCAAATTGTGTTGCATGCTGTAAATGCATGTGCCAATAGCAGGCTCACACAGCTCTCAGATACACGAAGGGAAAGGGAAAACACAGAGAGATCTAATACCAAGAGCGAATACCCTCCCAGCAAAGCGACAATTTGTTGTCGTCGTGGCGCTTGTTCTCGGAAAGTCAAGCATTGTCTTGGCTCGACCGTGAAATGTGTTGTAATGGGCTTAGGCTTATATTCAATTTGTGCGAGTAGCACAAAGTCCCTCCAGAGTGAAACACATGTAAACACACGAGGCACGCTGTGATGAAAGGTGTTTACATGAACGAATTCCGTGATTCGGCCTTGGCAGAGACAACAAAAAATTTGATTTTCGGAATGGGAAATAGAAAATGAAAGCTGAGATAGATTCGATTTTTTATCAAGTACAAAATGGGAATATTCGTAAGGATAAATATGAGGACAGTTTCGCCTATGCAGAAAGACATTCAGGATCAAATAACCTCATGGGTTATGCGCGCTACAACCAAGATCTGTCTACCCATTGGATACCCAAAAGCAAGATTCCAATATTTACCATGCTCTTTGCCATTTCCCGAGCACGTTTATCGATCAGCAAACCCATTAATCGCTAATGACTTTGATGATTTCATGTTTATCAGCGTACAGAGGCTTAGAAACATCAAAGAGGTCTCATTCTTCACTCGTAGTTCATAATGGACGGGCCAAATGCTCACCTTTCCCACGCTGACGATACTGGCAAAAGAACGTGGGCGAAAAATGCAAAGCACGCGAAAATGCGTTTAGATGTGAGAAAAACTTGGGGCTAAAACTATTCGTCGGGCAGGCTGGTGGCTAGAAGCGATGTGATGGGAACTTTGTATGCAAATTCTTAGCGCAGCTCCGTCTTCCCAGTGAACCCACCTACCAGCCAACCAACCATTCGGCTGGCCTGCTCCGAGTTGTGGTGAGTGTGAGTGACAGCCTGGCAGACACCTTGTCAATGTCTTGCGGCTACGAATAACCTCAACCCCAACCCCGAGTGTAGCACAGGCTGGAGAGGACCCCGGACCCCGGACCCCGGACACTGGAGACGACACACAGTGGCAGGGAATGCAAAGTAGCAAACACAACAAAAGCCAGAACAGTGGCAACAGCCAAGCCAAGTGGCAACAGCGCCAGACTTCTGTGTACAGCTGACTGACTACACATCTATATTAACGGGCACTCTCTATGTGGGTTTGTGTGCTCTGTGTGTGGGGCATGGGGGGCATATGGAATGAGGCATGAGGCACACAACTTTCACACGATTCCAGCCTTTTGTTTTTTTCTTGGGCCTTGACTTCGCCGCGGGTGTCGCTTTAATGAATGTGCAACACTGATGCATTTCTTTGGCAAACAACGAGGCAGAGCGAAACACAAAAGCAAAAACTGTGTGGCATACCTTTCGGGGCGACCAGAGCTCCGTGGAGGCCAGATGTGATGGAATTTCCTAGCAAATGGAGGAATTTCGTATGCCATTCAGTCAGACACAAGCAAATACAGGTTTCATTATTTTGCCACTTGAAATTCCTTTAAAATTCCAACGAAAAAGAACACGCCACGCGGAGCACAAAAAGAGCTACCGATGTTTTTAATACCCTTGCAAATGTCGGATGGTTTCTATTGCAGTTTTAGGACAGAGTTTTGTTTAGGATTAAAATGTTTATGGGATATGAGGATCCGAAACAATTTTAGCCTCTTCAAGCAGCGACAACTGTAATGCATTTCCGTACTAGCATCAACGTGCTTTAAACCTAACATTTGTTTTGTTTCTTCTTTATATGTACATACAGTGACCTATCATAGCAGAAACAAGTTCCTGCTTTAATAGTTTGGATATTCTTAAATATTTTTGGTTGATTTATTCAACAAAAATCAGAGAGAATTTATCTACAGTATTATCTTATTCTTAATATAAATAAATGTATACAAAAAGCCCAAAAGTGTCACTCTGATTTACATAAATTGTTTAGCATTAGCTGCAAATAGCTTCCAATTCAGCATTTATGCACTTTGTATGCCTTAAAATGGCACAAGTAATGTGCCGTAAATAAATTTCCATTGAAACTTTATGCAGGTCCGAAATGGCGGCTGGACAGATAACTTTTGAGTGCTGCCTCTGAAGAAACAATTAAATCACTTGAAAATCGATTGCAGGTGGCATTCAAGACTGGCCACACCTGCAGCGGGGGCAATCTGCCATCCGTGGCACACTTTTGTGGGTCAGATATGGACGAGAGAGAGAGAGAGAGAGAGAGGCTGCATTGTGGATAAGCCTGGGGATTTAGTTAATTATGTATGCAGGCTGAAAATGTTGCACAAACAATGGCCAAAGAGAGCCAGAAAGAGAAGAGACGGTGGCGCGGGAAGCGGGTGTAGATAAAGGCTTAAGAAGTTAAGCCAAACAGCTCGAGTATGTGCCACATAAACCATTGAAGCACCTACTCACACACACACACCCAGAACCCTCGGGCAGACACCCAGGGAGAAGGAAGAGGACCATGACGCCTCGTTCCCCTACATTGTGCCAACGATTTGTTGGCTCAATGCACACAAATACAGACACCGCTTAGGGTGTGGCTGGGCGAGGGCCAGGAGCGGAGATTGCCACCATGCTTAGGTGCTTCGGTGCTTAGGTGGCTGCGGTAGCTGAAGGATCCTAGCGGAAAATTGAATTAAGTTTTCATTACGCAAATAACTAGCAGAGCAGAGCAGTTGCCATAACCTGAACGTTCTGCATTATTTATTGCACTTTGCAGAGACGACCCCAAATAAACAATCATCACATAAATATATAATCAACAAGCGTCCACGTTCACGTCCAAGGGAAGCAGTTGAAGTGGAAGTGGAAGTGGAAGTGGAAGGAGCAGCAGCCACAGAGGGGGCAGAAGCAGAAGCAGACACAGACTCGGGCACCAGCTGGCATAACAGCAGACAGCACAGGCAGGGAGGAGCAGGACAAAAAGAAGACTCCTTGGCTGGCAGCCAAGAGCAGCAGGCAGCAGGCAGCAGGCAGCGCACCATGTAAACCTCTCTGGGGGCCAGAGGGAGACAGTCGATGTGAAGCGATGTGAAAGCTAAACATTTTGCAATATTTAAGAACATCCCCGACGAACCGACAAAACCTGTTGCTTATCCCGAGCCTCATTCCGACTCCGACAGCCGACACATCGCAGACACCCAACACCAGAGGACCGCCAGCAGCACCTGAAACAGAAGAGCTGTCGAGATGGCCATCCACGTGCTGGACTATGATCACTTTGCCATCAGCGCCATTGTTGTGGGCAGCCTGCAGCTGTTCTTCTTTCTCATCAACTCGATGCTGCACATGGACAAGCTGACGGACTTTGCGGGCGGCGTCAACTTCATTATCATCTCGCTGCTGACCTTCTTTCTCGGCCAAATTGATCGGCCTTCAAAGGTAAGTGTGAAAACTTTTGCGGTTCACTTTTGCAAGCAAAAATGCTAGCTGCATTTTAAACGTGACCATAAACATGTCGCCTGCAGTTCACTCCCTTTCGGTGGAGAGGTAGGTTGCTGCCCAAAAGTGGTTTGGCTTTGGCTTGGGTGGCGCTTGCCTTGCCTTGCCCTGCCGGTTGTTTCACGCGCTGACATTGAAAACTGAATTTCGCATACGCACGCAGACACCAACTCAAACAACTGCACACACACACACACACAGATACTAGCATCCCTGCACATACATCCACATGTATATATTGCTTTGCCTGGTGTCTGCCTCACAAAACAAAAGGTTACGCCCAGCAAGGCCCACGCTTTTGCTGTTGTTTCTCGTTGTTGTTGCTGTTGTTGCAGCTTGTGGCATGACCTTGGCATCGTGAGGGTCCTCCATCTGTCTGTCTCTCTATCTCTTTCACTCTCTCTGTCTGTCTGAATGTCTGTCTGTGGGCCTAAGCAGCTAACTACCGAACGCTTTGTTTTTGGGCGAAAGATGTGAGCGATGTGACAGGCAACAGCTTGAAAGCAATTTACGTTAAATTGCACAAATTTCATTAAATTGCAAGCACCACATAAACAAAGCAAGAATGTAATATAAATTTCAGAGAATTTACTATAAGCTCCAAAGGGTGTAGCCCCCCTAGGGTAGATCAAACCATCAGACCATTCAGTTTTAGTTATTGAATGAACAATTTTATGTGAATTTTGAAGCTTTCTATTGAAGGTTGAACTTATATTGTGAAATATTTCCTTTGGGAAATGCACATCCCCAATCAACTCGAGACAGGCGTATCTCAATGTTCGACCTTCCGTGACTCCCACTTGCTTACGCACTACTATAAATGCCAGCTGCATAATACTTCCACCGTAAATCAAGAAAAATAAGATGTGCTCAGGCACTGTCCCTCCGTTTGGCTTCAGCCTGAACAAGCAATTAGTCAGTCAAGCGCATAAAGAGATAAGCATCCACATAAGTGAATAAACATATTTACAAAGCAAAAACTTACCTTTTTAAGCCGCACCAATTTCCTATGTTGTGGTTCATTTCGCCAGCATAAACTGCAATGAGTGCAATAAAGGGAATTAATTCAAGCAAACCCTTTTTAATGGAAACATTTCTAAATGGACGGCGTAATTTGTTCAAAAAGAAGCATCAGGTATCAGTTTTCTTTGTTGTTTTCACCCACAAACACTATCGAATTACCGAATAAACTTGAGAGCGTTGTCAATTTCAATTTGGTATGAAACCGCAGCCACAGAGTAGAGCAGATTTTGCATCCAGCAATGGGGAATGCATTACGAAAACTGAAATATAAATCCAGCTACAGGCAACCAACCAACCACATCCCACCCAAATTTTGCATCCCCGATTGATTCTGGTAATGGATTGGATCACGGACAAACAGAAAAGCTTTCCCTTTACCAGACATGAATTTTGCATTTGTTTGTAATTAAAATTTGGGTTCCCTTTTGGTCCGAATATCGATCGCAAATTAATCATGGCCAACATCTAAAATTCTGGCAATGAAAATTGTTTTTAAAGCAGACATCACTTCTGGCTGTGGCTGTGGCTCTGTCTCCACCCACCCGTGAAGAGAAAGAGCTGAGCGCTTGCTCGACGTCAGGCGGAAGCGGAAGTGGAAGTGCTGCCTTTGCTGGTGGCGTTGTTGCCTGTTTTGTCGCTGTTCCCACAGCTGCAGCCGTTGTGCATCTATGTGGCTGTGTGCAGCTGGGTGTGAGGGTCATAAAAATGCTTTATTGCGCTTGTATGCAGTGCAGAACGATGCCCCTGTCCGTGCCTCTCGATGGCTTATCGCTGGGGGATGGGGAGTCGTTTAATAAATCGTGCGATAAAACGGCTTAAGCCTTGCCTGAAAGGCAGCTCAATCAAACTGCAAATGGACAATCGAGTGAGCGAACTGTCTTCGCAAATGACAAACCCATTAAACTATCAACTTGTGGCAGTCACAAGCAATCCTTGCCCCTGTCCATGGGCCTTCCGCTCGTTCATGTACGTGACCTCAGTCAGGGTGGAGGGCGTGTGTTAGTGCCTTGGCTGCGGTTATGGCCATGTGGGCGGCAACGGCTGCACTTTCACTGTCATTGGCACAGCAATTTAACAATTTTTTCTTGTAATGCATTTTTCATGAGGCGTTTGACGGCCCCGACCCGAACCCCCGGACCTCCAGTGCTGTGCGAGGTTCCTGCTCATTCCCGCTGTGCGAGTATGTGTGTATTTGTGTGGCTGTTGCCATCAATGCCGTTTATAAATATCCAAAGTGCACGCTGGCAGTCGACTCATTCATTATTGAACCACAAAACCATAGCCATGCCCGAAGCAAAGCCCCAAAACCAATCCATCCTAGAGAGCACTTTTGGCCGCCACCGGAGCATACAGCTCCACGCCTCCACTGGCGCGTGCTCTCCCCATTTATGCAAAATTCGCATGTGGTTTTTTAAAATAACACAACGCGCACTTCCGCCCAACAGCACAGAAAACAACACTCGTCTCTGGCACACGAAAACAAAACCAAAAAACCAAATAAAATTCGTGCAAATTGCTCGTTGGGCAATGAATGCCATGAGAGTGCAGGGTATGGTATGGCTTGCTTTATACCCTGCAGAAGGAGGTAGAAATATGAAATAGGGATCAAACATTAAAACTAAATATTCAATTCTGCAACCCATTTTGGAACTACAAAAATTCCTCTAATAGTTTTAAACTTGCAAAAGCTACAGAACATTTTTCCCAAAATAGTTACGAGTTTATCAAAAGCAGCCTTGAACTGGACTCTTTGCCAGCGACTACTCCATCAGCTTTAGAGCGGGGATGAGCCTTCATTCCCGACCAAGATATATGTACATATTTCAATTTTGGTGTTGAATTACCTTTACCATTCAGCCTTCAACTCTAAATTTACCTCCCCACGATACTCACACAGATACAAGTATACATCTCTGTCGTTCCGTAGACGGTAGGTAACCACAAATTTACGGCATTGCGGGTCTGCCCATCGATTCACACGCAGGGGTTTAATTTTAAGTGCCTCCCCCTGGGTCGCCAGCCAGATTTGATCCACCGTTTCCCTTTCTCTGTCGCTTCCCTTTCCGCAGGCCTACGACAGCCGCCAGCTGATGGTCACGCTCTTTGTGTGCCTGTGGGGCGCTCGGCTATCCGGATATTTGCTGTATCGCATCATCAAGTTGGGCCGAGACAAGCAGTTCGAGGATACCCGACGCAACGTCATACGCTATGCGGTCTTCTGGACCTTTCAGGTGAGTCCCAATGCACCATCTCCAAGGTAAGGTTGTTCTTGCACTTGGCAGGTTGCAGGTTGCAGGTTGCAAGAGCGGGGAGTTCAACGTTTGTTGCGTCAGCCACTTTTCAATGTTGCTTTCAATGACAGAACCTTCAACTTGAAATCCCCTACACCCGCTTCGTTTCTCTGCCCGAAAATCAATCAAACTGTCACTAATTGACGTGTTGCCGTGACGCAAAGCTTTTTGAATATTTCATATTTCAGCAGTTGTCGACGGTCCACTACCACATTTCAGATGCGTGGAGCACAAGGGGGAAGTGACTCATGCACCCAACACCCCCACATAGATCCAGTTGCAGCAAGCAACAATTAAAATGCCATGCAGCGTGGGGGGGCATGGAAATGACATGCACATGTGGGCGATGCCTGCTAAACGTTGAGGGTGTCGGGTGTGGGTCGAAGGATCTCTGTGCATGTGTGTGTGTGTGACAACTGTCGACTGTCCTTCATTGTGTGTCTGTCTGTCCTGTCTGTCCTGTTCTGTGGCCGCTGGCGGTGGCGTGCTGCATGTGGCATGTCCCGCAATCGTTTTGTCTAAATTTATTTCCATTCCACCAGAAATCACTTGTTGCTGAAAATCACTTAAGAGTAGAAGCGCTTTTATGGGATGTTTACTGAGAAAATTGCTGATTGCTGATCGATAATCAGAATCAGAGATATAACTTTATCTATTCCTCTTCGAATAATCAAATTTCTAGGCCGTTTGGGTGTACATCGTGTCACTGCCTGTGATCATCATCAACTCGCCGCGCCACTCGCAGCCGCATGCACCCAAGACCATGACCACTTTGGACTCCACTGGCACGGGCATGTTCATTGTGGGACTGCTGGCCGAGACCTATGCGGATCTGCAAAAGTTCTCCTTCCGCCAGGATCCCGCCAATCAGGGAAAGTTCTGTAACGATGGTGAGTTGGGAGACAAATTTACAACCAATTGGCGTTCAAATATTATTAAATAATTTATCGACAGGGTTGTGGAGCGTTTCACGTCATCCGAATTACTTTGGGGAGGTCATCATTTGGTGGGGCATCTTTGCCATCTCCCTGAACGTGATCAGCGGCCACGAGTGGGTGGCCATTGCCTCGCCCATCTTCACCACGCTGATCATACTCTTCCTGTCCGGCATTCCGCTGCGCGAACGCAGCGCCGATGAGAAGTACAAGGAGTAAGTGGCGTGTGGGTTTAATTAACTGATTCATCTTCTAATGGGTCCCCCACTGATGTTTGCAGCCAGCTGGAGTATCGCAAGTACAAGGCCTCCACCTCGCCACTGATCCCCGTGCCACCTGCTGTCTATGTGGAGGTGCCCAGTGCTTTGAAGTTCATCCTCTGCTGCGAGTTCCCCATCTACGACTCGATGAGCATCCAGAAGGACCTCAGCCCCTACTCGCTGTCCATCGCCCGCTCCCACTCGCACATATAGCAGTCAGTGGCCCACTCCAGCAGCACGCAGGCTGGGGTGGGTCAGGTGCACACCCATTCGGTGGCCCATTCGCTCCACAGGGGCCACTGCTACGGGGCCAATGGGGGGGATGCCGAGAGCCACCACAATTGCGGTGGCAGCTGCCGCAATGTGCACGTCAAGTCCAATCCGTACCAGTGCGAGGCGGGCTACGGCCACTATCCGGTGAAGCACACCGATGACGAGGACACGGACGATGGCATCATCTATATGGCTGGACACGGACCTGGGCCGTGCTGCTCCAAGGCAAAGACGCACTGCTTCAACGAGCAGGACCATCAGAATTCGAATCAGCACCACAAAAAGCCAACGAAATGCCGCTACCTGGCCGAGGAGGAACTGGCCTCCGACTACGATGAGGATGTGCCAGCCATCGATCTGAGCAAGGCCACCAGCGTGGAGAGTTTCGGCACTCGGGTGCAAACGGAGCGCTCTGTGAATGCCGATGGCCTGCCCGTGACCGTGACCACGATATTGTGATTGCCACTATAAGATTATCATTTGTCCCAGAGATCCCAATTTTTTGATTGTATATTGTAAATAGACGGAGCTTTGCCATTGTGCACATTGTTGCCATTGTTGACTCCGTGAAAGTGATTTTGAAAAACGAATTGCGCCATGCAAAAGGGTGCCAAAGTGCCGCAGATTGTAAAGGCAACGATGGTAGAGGATAATACAAGGATACCTTCAACCACACAGCTGTCTAGCACTCTCTAGTCTCTATGCTGTAGTTGCTCAAATAACTAATGTGCCTCTTATTGTGAGTAAATCCCTAGATTGTTGCACTCTTTCAAAGTTTATGCTACTACTCCCACTTACTACTAGTCTTTGTTGAATTCTTGATAGATACGTTCCTAGACACCCTTTCCAAACTGTGTATAACACACACACACAGATCTCCTGCTAGCTGCATATTTTCTTATCAAACCGCAACTCTCGCCCCACCAAAATAAAGTGAAACTCGAAACCAACCAACCAACAACAAAAACTGAAACATATCCCGGTATATGATGAAAAGCAGAAATTACACGCTAGAAAGGGTTCTTAAGCCATTGTTATTTTATATACAAGGACTATCTATATTAGCCATTAAAGATTTAAAGGTATATGGATGTTATCACTATGTGTCTGTGTCTCGCTAGCGTCTCAAATTTTAAGCAGTATTACAAACCAAACAAACCAAACAAAAAACGAATGAAATTGTACCTAATCGATTATGCTGAGTATGGTTAAAACAAATAAACAAAATGCAAGGAAAACTTGTACATTTTCAGATGCTTTTGTTCATGGGGGACACCTCTATTCTTTTTACACATTTAAACTCTTCTAACACACATTTCAGTCATTGCAATCTAGTCTCCTTTTGGTAGAAACCATCAGGAAAGGCCATGGAAAAGCGTACTGCCCCTTGTGTCACTATCTTCTCAACGATTTGCTCAACACAAAATTATTCAGTTCACGTTAGTAAATAGTCCAGTCAACATCTAAAAACGAAAATCAAAATTTTGTGTTCCAGCAAAACAAATTTTAAGTTTTAATAATTTTTCTTTTTTTTGCAAAAAAGTTTTTGTTTTTGATGATCGACGGATACGCGAAATTTTACTGGTTTTAATTGAAAGTGCAATGAGTGGAATGTCTTCTCGAAGGCTCGGTCGGCTTTTCGGTTTGTCGCGGAATTTACTAGCCCGTGTCGCCCGGAAACCGACCATCCGTTGTTCGTATGACAATGCGGTACTGAGGCGCTCCTATGCCTCGCAGGCCATCAACCAGATGCTGCAGCTGCAGCAGATGGACATCTGTGCGGATCAGCCATCGCGCGGTCTGGTGATCGGTGTCTTCGCAGACGAGGAGGACCGGAACGATGCCGGTATACTGACCCCAGCCGGCTGGCGTTACAACGTGACAAAGACAAACGGGCGGCTCATCCAGGTGCTGCGTATGTCCGGACCGATGCCCAAGCGGGGCGAGGCCCGTCTGCTGTTCGCCATCGAGCCGGTGCGAACTCCCTACTACTCTGTGGTGGCCGTGGTCGGTCTGGGCAAGGAGTGCCTGGGCTACAATCCGTATGAAGTGCTGGACGAGCAAAAAGAGGCGATCCGCCGATCCGTGGCAGCCGCTTGCCGGGTTCTAGCTGAGCTAGACACCGACAGAATCGAAGTTGAGAACTGTGGACATGCAGAGTCCGCTGCCGAGGGAGCAGCATTGGGCGTCTGGGCCTATCAGGAGCTGCGGGATCCTAAATTCCGCCTCTCCGTGCCGTCCATTGACTTGTTTGCCACCAAGGATGATATTTGCGACATCGAGGGATGGCGCATTGGACTGCAGAAGGCGGCAGCACAGAATCTGACCAGACAGCTGCAGGAGATGCCCTCTAACCTCCTCACGCCCACTGCCTTTGCGCAAAATGTCGTGGAGGTTCTGTGCAAGTCGGGAGTCAATGTGGAGGTCAAGGTCGAGGGCTGGGCCGAAAGCCAGTCCATGCACGCTTTCCTGGCAGTGGGAAAGGCGTCTTGCGAGCCGCCAATCTTCTTGGAGCTCAGCTACTATGGCACCTGTGCGGAGGAGCGTCCCATTGTGCTGGTCGGACAAGGCGTGACCTACGATGCCGGTGGTCTCTGCCTCAAGAAACGCAACGAATTGTTCAACATGCGTGGGGACATGACCGGAGCAGCTGTCGTTGTGGCCGCCTGTCGAGCCGTGGCAAGTCTGCGTTTGCCCGTAAGTGGAAAGGTTTTTGCCTCCCGCCCATTTGTGGTTAGTTCTGATTATTCTTGTTTAGGTCAATGTCCGTGGCCTGATCCCACTCTGTGAGAACGTGATTGGATGCAACTCGTTCCGACCTGGCGACATGGTCAAGTCCATGAACGGCAAGACTATTGAGATCCAGTGCACAGACCACGAGGATGTTCTTGTCCTAGCTGACGCCTTGCTTTATGCCCAAAACTTCTGCCCCAAGTGCATCATTGACGTCGGCACCTGTTCGGGCTACATGCGTCAGTCTCTGGACGAAGCGGCCGCTGGGGTCTTCACCAACTCGGAGATCCTCTGGCAGCAGATCAAGCATGCCAGCATGCACACCGGAGATCGTGTGTGGCGCTTCCCCCTGTGGAACTACTACAGCAAGGCCGTGCGTGCCGGAGCCCGCAGCGATGTCCAGAACTACGGCATTGGCCGTGGCGGACGTCCCTGCAAGGCCGCTGCCTTCCTCCGTGAGTTCGTGCCCTGCGGCCAGTGGATGCATATTGTGAGTATAAGATAAGGTTCTGTGTGGATTGTTTAATGGCGTTTCTCGTTTCAGGATGCCACCAACGTGATGGTCACCAACGGCATTGATTTCGAGTACCTTCGCCGTGGCATGGCAGGCCGCCCGACCCGCACCCTGGTCGAGTTTATTGCCCAGACCATCTGCAAGGACACCGCCCCTAAGCTGGGCAAGTAGGAGAGAATATCAGACAGAAAGCCAGTACCAGTAGTCGAGTCAGTTCGCTGCAATCATCACTCAATATTTTTGGCCCCTAGATGTTACTTAACATTGTTTTGAAATTGTTGGTATTTTCAGGAAATTGTTTTTTTTATAATAATTAGTAATTTTAGAATAATTAAAACAGTCAAACTTCACAGTATAAAGTGGAATGCATTTTCGAACCTTTTGATTAAAGCAACTATTTGATATCACAAACTTGTACAATTCTCATAAAGATTGTCCAAAAAGAATAAAGGAAAGTTCAATAAGGAACTGAAAGTTTGAGGCAAATGCTGCTGGCGGTGCCAAAAAATGTATTCTGCTCATTATTTAGTTGTCTGTCGGTTGATCCCCTGCCTATTTGATTGTTGATGTACTCCCCCTTTTGTTGGCCAAGTCCGTCTCGAGCGACTCACTCAGGGAGGGGAGGGTCATAAGATATTGGCGGAAAGATGCTGGGTTGGCTCTTAGTTGAGTGGTAGAAAATATTTGGCAAAGAGTGCAAATGCCAAATTTAGAAGGAAGAGAAAACAACGAATAATATCTTCATTTGTCGGAGATACTCGTAGGTATGTACAAATGTATGAATGAACACATATTTGTACATAAAATGTAGATACCGATTTGTGTTGAACATCCAAAATAGACCAACCCAAGCAGCCCTTTCGGAGCTGTCACTTTCACATGGAGTAGATCCTAGTCTCATTGTCGCATTCTCCGGGTGGAGATTGAAACCGAAGCACATATCCAAAATTCTATGCTGAAAAATAGTTTTGAAGCTGCCGAACAAATCAAGCCGTCTTTGAAGCATCTTTCGTATATTTTTTGAACCCATCGTTAAAGGATGCTTCACTTTGCGCGACGGCTGGTCCCACAGGCCTTCCGCCTGCGACGCATCTCCTGCCTGGGACCCCGTCCCCTGGGCACCTCGCGCCGCTACGCCACACAGGCCATCAACCAGATGTTGCAGCTCCAGCAGATGGAGATGTGCGCGGATCCGCCATCTCGCGGATTGGTGATCGGTGTTTTCGCCGACGAAAGCGATCCCAACGATGCCGGCATCCTGACACCCGCCGGCTGGCGTTACAATGTGCAGAAGACCAACGGCCGATTGCTGGAGGTCCTGCGAATGTCTGGACCAATGCCCAAGCGGGGCGAGGCTCGCCTTTTCTTCGCCATCGAGCCGGAGCGTATCCCCTATTACTCTGCGGTGGCTGTGATCGGCCTGGGCAAGGAGTGCCTGGGCTACAATCCATATGAAGTTCTGGACGAGCAAAAGGAAGCGATCCGCCGATCCGTTGCAGCCGCTTGCCGGATTCTAGCCGAGCTAGACACTGACAGAGTCGAAGTTGAGAACTGTGGACACGCAGAGTCTGCTGCCGAGGGAGCCGCATTGGGCATCTGGCTCTATCAGGAGCTACGCAGCCCACAGGGCAGGATTCCAGTTCCATCGCTGGATTTGTACACAACAAAGGACGAAGTCTGCGACATCGAGGGATGGCGCATTGGACTGCAGAAGGCGGCAGCACAGAATCTGACCAGACAGCTGCAGGAGATGCCCTCCAATCTCCTCACTCCAACTGCCTTTGCCCAAAATGTTGTGGAGGTTCTGTGCAAGTCGGGAGTCAATGTGGAGGTCAAAGTTGAGGGCTGGGCTGAGAGCCAGTCCATGCACGCCTTTCTGGCAGTGGGAAGAGCCTCGTGCGAGCCGCCAATCTTCTTGGAGCTCAGTTATTACGGAACCTGTGCAGAGGAGCGTCCAATTGTGCTGGTCGGCCAAGGCGTGACCTACGATGCCGGCGGATTGTGTCTCAAAAAGAAAAACGAGCTCTTTCATATGCGTGGAGACATGACGGGAGCCGCCGTTGTGGTGGCCACTTGCCGCGCTGTTGCTGGTCTGCGCCTACCGGTAAGTATTTAGGAGGAGCTCTTAGAATGATATTAATAAATGTTTTTACTCAGGTCAACATTCGCGGGCTGATTCCTCTTTGCGAAAATGTTGTTGGCTGCAATTCGGTACGACCGGGGGACATGGTCAAGTCAATGAACGGTAAGACCATGGAGATCGAGTGCACCGATCACGAGGATGTTCTTGTCTTGGCGGATGCCCTCCTCTACGGGCAGAATTTCTGTCCCAAATGCATCATTGACGTCGGCACCTGTTCGGGCTACATGCGTCAGGCTCTGGACGAGTCGGCAGCTGGGGTCTTCACCAACTCGGAGATCCTGTGGCAGCAGATCAAGCATGCCAGCATGCACACCGGAGATCGTGTGTGGCGTTTCCCTTTGTGGAAGTATTACAGCAAGGCGGTACGCTCCGGGGGACGTAGTGATGTACAGAACTACGGCATTGGCCGTGGTGGACGTCCCTGCAAGGCCGCTGCCTTCCTCCGTGAGTTTGTGCCCTGTGGCCAGTGGATGCATATTGTGAGTATTGTGGTGGGCGAGTGGGAGTACAGATCTAATGGGTTTCTCTTCCACAAAGGATGCCACAAATGTGATGATGACGAAGGGCGATGAATACGAGTATTTGCGCAAGGGCATGGCCGGGCGCCCTACACGCACTCTGGTGGAGTTTATTGCTCAGACAATTTGCAGGGATACTGCCCCACGACTGGGCAAGTAATCTCTAATCTATACATATATTTTGTTACTGTTTTAACGATGCTACACACACGCACACACAACTGACTAGACACTTGAGCACTGACCATCCTATATGACACTTGTTGTTGCAGTTGCACTTCGAGACATTCATACATAGCGGGGATTATCCGTTTATTATGAAATTATACGTATACAAAAAACACAACTATCGGTGTTTGATCATTGGTTGGAAACTTGGGGTTTCCTTCCCCCGGTGGGGAAGTATTGGAGATAACTGGTAGAAGGTTGATTGCTTGGTCAGACTGTACCCAGGGGTTTCAGTTCATTGTAATATATGTGGCTTCAGTGTCGAGTGAGTGCTACGCCAGGGAGACGGCGTGGGTAATCACAACGTTTATATCAATGGGTGGATAATTCTGCAGCAGCTTCACATTCGAGGCAAAATCGTTCTCCAAAATCGCCTCCCTTTGGATTCTAAAAAACACAAAAATGTACAGTCAATAATTGAGTTAAACATCCGTGCCTGCACTTACAGTATCATGGAACAGCAGATTTTGATGAGAAAATCGAAGCGTTGCTCGTCGGAGAATACTGAATCCCAAATACGCAGCACATCGGGCAGTGGAAACTCCTGCGAGAGGAGGAGCGTGAGCCACCTGAAGCTGTAGTACTGCGGATGCAGCTCTTGGCTCTTCAGGTGCTCGTAGATATCAATATCTTTAGTCTTCAGCATGTTCGATAGCCGGGCCATCATGTACTTGATGCCACCCTCCGCATCGTCCAGAGTCTTTATGAAGAAGTCGCGTATCTCGCTCATCAGAGCCGTGAAGCAGAAGAAACAGTCGGCCTCCGCATGGGCGCGATACGAGAGATCCGGATCCGAGGCCATCACATAGTAAATCGGTCCCACAATCTCATTCATGCCCTGTACATATCCCTGGCCGGGATTCAGCTTGGCGTAGATGAACAGAATGCGCTGCACAACCTCCCAGTGCGCCTCCTGGCCCTCCTCCATGGCGGCGTAGGTCTCCACCGAACGTTTTGTGATTAAATTGATCTGATTGGAGAGTCAAAGAGGCTCATTAAACAGCGTGTCGCTTGAGTGGGTGTCACTTACTTGCTGCTAAAGTCCACAATGGCAGGCATGATGGAACACACTGTGAGCACTTCTTATTCTCTAGCCCTGACAAAATCCCGACCAAAACTCACCTTGGTCATGCCCAGGCCCTTGCGCTCGACATTCGCCGAGCTGAGCACTGTGGGCACTACCCGTTCGTGAAGCCGCCGCCCGTGCTCTCCTCTGCTGTGCACCACAATATCGCAGGGATACTCTGTGGGCTGCTGAAAGAACGAGATGTCGGGGCACAGGCGCCTCACATCCTTGTCGATTTGCAGCAGAAATTCGTTGTCGTTGAAGAACGTGTTCCAGGCACTCTCCGGACCCTCGCTGAGCGGATGATCTTGCAGGCCTACGCCCCTTGTTTCCACAGCGACCTCCGCGTCACCGTCACCGTCACCATCTCCCGCTCCATTGCAGCTGTGTCCGGGAGGTAGTACGAGTTCCTCTATGAACTGTTTGTACAGGGCTCGCTTCTGGGCCAGTGTTGTCGTCCAACTGCTGCGCGTGGGTCCCAGGTATCCCAAAAGCAGCTTCCAGCCGAGTGCACGGAAACTTTGTACATCGGGCACACCTGTGGATTGGATTCGTTGCCATCAATTGTTGTGTCCATTGGAAATATGACTATCCCACCATTAAACGTCAGTCTTCGCAGCTCCTTTAGGTCAATCACATCCTGGGCCAGAGCATCATCAAACTCTTTCACACTGAAACATGCGGGCGGGGCCAATCTTTTGTTTATAATACAACAAAACACATCACTCATTTGGGTCGTACATACCGCGCCTTGAAAATAGACATGATCTGGCTATATGCGGGCGGGGCTGATCTGTGGCTGTGTCTGCTCCATGCAGTCACAATTTCGTTGCAATGATGTGGACTTCTTTTGTTGTTATAAAAACAGCTGGTTAATTCTTTTGTTATTGCTTTTCTTTTTTTTTTTGGTGTTCCGAGTTTCCTGCGGCACTATCGATAAAGTATATTTTAAAAATATACCTTCTCATTTTAAAAATATACCGTAGTCTTAAATCATATTCCTCGATTTTGATGTTCTATTTGATTTTACTAGCTTGCAAAGACTTTTAACACTGAAAAACTAGTTAAATCCGTTTGAAGAATCAAATTCACGTATTTTAAATACTAATTGTTATTGGTTTGTACACCTTATGACCTAATATTTTACAAATTCAAACATTCAAATCACCCCTTCTGGAAGCAAGGAAGCTTTGTATACAGTATGTAAGTGTATGTAACATGTAGAGACACATGTATGTTAGCTGACATCATACAAATTTTTGAAAAACTGCGCGCGCAACTAAAGAGATAAGAAATTCTATTATTTTTTTCATAAGTAAATATTATAATGAGCTTTTAGTGGTTAGGGGTGCAGTTATTCTATCTTTACAACATAATTGGGGCTAAACTCCGATATATCCGCCCGTTATTGGAGTATTGTTCTTGTGTGTAGAGTCCTCCATACAAGGAGCAACAAATTCTTGTTGAATCCGTTCAAAAACAATGTTTAATATTTGTCTTGAGACACCTGAACTGGGACTCTGACAGACTCTTACCCCCATACCGATCTTGGCTAAAACTAGTGGACCTCTTTACACCATCGCTTTTGGGACAACTAGATTGTACAGTTCCCTCCAGACCAGGGCTTCGCGTGGCTTTATCTATTATCAATGTGCATAGGACAAGGCTATGCCGCGGGCTTCCGCTCCCGTACACGTTTTGCGTGCTTCTTCGCACAAAACATTGTATTGCAATGATTATAAATTATAAATTATAATTATTTAAACCTTATTTTAGCAAATTTGTAAATTTTATCCTTCTATCCGCTCCTGTACTGACATTTAATTTATATTTATTACTCTACTTATTCCATGATAAGCAGGTAATTCCTAATTGAAAATAAATAATTTATATATATGTACTACATATATATTTTCCGTATTACAATATTAATATATTTTATTTGTTTGACATTTAACTTTTATCAGTTGTCTCATTAGCTGTTCAAATATCCTTCGCAAAGGAAAAGAGCTTTCAAATTCCCTTAACGAAGCAAAAGAGCTTTCATGGTGCGAAATTTGTACCAACAATTAAGGTGTCGACAACAGGTAAATACGTCACAAAAACTCCAGTGGCGCCAGGTAAATTACACAGCGATTTCATCCCCCGTGATGGAAATTCTTTAAGGAAATCCTCTCCTGTTTGTAAACGGTCAGGGAAATCCTCTCCTGTGTCCAAACGGTCAGGGAAATTCTCGACAATGCTCGCAAGGTGTGTGAGCTAGATAGGGTATCAAATCGAACGTTGCCAGATCGATAGATATTTCAGGACATCAGCTAATAGTTCTAGTAGTGTTGCCACATCGCTTACAGTACCTTTGGCGGTTGCATTTGAAATGCATTTTTGAACACTGCAGTGCCATTTTCACTCAGTGTCTGGATAATTGCTTAGCGCAGTGTTTAAACGTTGCATTTTGAGGGCAATGGCATTGAGCACAGTTGTTAGTTCTCATTCATTCATAATTCCATTTCATTTACACTTTTTCACATGCCTTTCGCATGATGAACGAATACTTGGTTTGCGCTCATTTTGCTCGTTTATTCCGTGCCGTTTTGTTTGTTTTAGAAATTTGGCTTTTGGTACACACACACATACGGAGCAGAGCGGTGAGCAGACGCATTGACGACTGGCAGGCAGGCAGGCAGGCAGAATTGAGAACAATTCTGAATTCTGAATGCTTTGCATGAATTTTGCTCAGCATTTCTTTTGTTTACGCTAGTCGCTGGCCAGCAATGACGCCCAGCAGATCACCAGGTTCCGCGTCATACAGGCGACCGGCTTTCTGGAAGGTGCCCAGTTACGTCCATGAGATCTACACACAATCCACGCCCACTCTAGCTGCCCAGACAGTGGCAGTGACAGTGCCTCCCTGCCGCCTGACGCAGCGTCGCCGCAGCAGCAACAGTGGACTGAAGAAGCGGGTACATTTCGCCGATGAGCCAAACATTGGGGTAAGTCATCGTCATCCCCCGCCCCCCACCAACACCCTAAATACCATATGAATTCGCGCATATATGGCTTGTCAATCATCAGTCGGGGTGTGTGTCAGTGTCTCTCTGTCGCTGTTTGCGGGTGGCCCCAATTGCTTGTTGCCACCAGCTCGTGCCACAAATCAGTTCAATAACATTTTGCCCCTGGCGGCTCGGCTCGTATATTTGTCAAACAAAATTTAATTAATTGGCCACTGCTGCATTTTTCGGCTAAGTAAAAAAGAGAACACAGAAAAACAGACCCACATAGAGCGAGAGATGGATGGTTGGTTGGAATTTATGTACATAGGTCGATTAGCATAAAATTGATGAAACTCTGCGCTGCAAACAAAACTAATATTATCTGTGGGATACACAGATACAAGTATGTTCACATGCAGATACCATAAAGTGTTACAAAATCAGCAAAAATAATTGAAAATTCCAATTGAAATTCATATGAAAACCATTCAAGCCGCAAATAGTAAAAACATTTCAAGACTTCAGCCAAAAAAAAGCGCCGAAAACAGAATATATTTATTCTGTACAAATAAAATGGCACGCCACTGGCCCCTGGGGAACGGAAAACGACAGGCAGGAAAGTGATTTTTCCGTTGTAAGTAGTAAAATACTTGCCAAAAATGAGCAAATGGAATGTCTATGGGTCCGCCCAAGATCATAGGAACGGAACAAAGAAACAGCTGTTGGCCAAACAAATCGAAAAACATACGGGACGGCGGGACCCTGTGCACATTGCGCATACGTCGAGTGGCACAATTTTTGAGGAGTTTCCTTCAAGCAAAACTCAACAACAGTCCCCATATTATTGTTGATGCTGATTATGCCTCTGTATTTAGA